TGAGCTTTGGGAGAAGTGGACGGACAGAGTCTTTCGGACTGATTCAAATTTTTAGTATAAAATTCAAAATTTATAAAATTTTCAATTTAAGCTAATTTGAAAATCCAAAAAATTCGAACTAAAATTAAATTTGAATTTAGTTTAGATAAACTTTCAGATTTGGAATATCGTACTAGCGAATAGGGTGTATATAGTGTGTTAATATACATATATTATATACTTTTTTCTAAAGAGGGACGAAAATGACACAATGAAACTATTATTTTAAAAATGAGGGATTATTTTTTAATATTTATGAAAACCATACTTATAACCAAAAATTTATCTAAAATATAGAAGTATAAGTAATTAATTATAACGACAAGATTTACTCCCTTAGTCAAACTAGAAAGTATACATATTTCTATTTAATATTTCATTTTTTTCCACAAATACATTTACTTTACATCACATATTACCTTTACCAAAAAAAAAAAAAAAAAACAAGGGTAAAAATATAATTATAGTACTTTTATCTGCGCCAAAAGTAAGTGTTCACGGACCGAGGAAGTATTAATTAAAACATGCTACACTACACAATTAAGAATAGTAAGTTTTATTTATATTTATTATTATATAAAATTTTATTTTTACAAAATAATATATATATATTTATATACTTTTATTTGTGTTTAATTTTAAAACTAAATAATTTTAATATAAATATAAATATATAAGAAATAAATAATAATTCAAAATTCAGCATGAATACCATGTTGAATGCATAAATCAGCATTTTCGGGATTAAATCCATCCTTTAATCTCATATCTCATTTAATATCTGATGACAAAACTTTCATATAAAAATAAACATGTAATTTCATAAAAAAATCAACTCTGTTGAAATAAAATACAATCTCAGATTTTTTTTTAAAAAAAATTGAATTATTATTCGTAATAAAATAAAAGCTTAATAAAAATAAACCTAAAACAATTAAATTTAATATAAAAAAATAACAATAATAATAATAATTGTAATGTAAATAAAAACTCTTTTCTTGATGGGATGGGATAGGATAGTCTAAACCCTAAAATTGTAGTTTTGGCATAAACCACCCAACATCAACACCACCTTCGGTCTCAAAACTTGAACGCAAAACATTGTAATTCCATATTATCCCTTTCTCTTTCTCTCTCAAGTTGAATCCACCTTCTAGAAGCATCGACAACGTGAACATATCGTCGTTTCCGTTTCGAAAATCATCTCCGGCGAAGTAACCGCCGTTCAAGGCCGACATAGCCTTCATTTGACTTCCAAATGTGAAGTATATGTCGTCGCCGGAAACCCCAAATTTCTCATAATCATTCACTCTTACCGCCACCGCCTCACTCGTTCCTCCGATGAATATCGCCTGCCGGCCGACGCTCCCGAGCTTTTCCGGCAATAAAAAACCACCGGCGCCGCTGACATTAACCTTAAACACCTCAAATCCGGTCAACCGATAGCGCCGCTGCCGCGAAAGCTCCGTCTCAAAACCTATCACGGCGCTCACCACCAGAATTTCACCTCCGGTCGCCGCCGCCGCCACTAACCGGTCCGGATATACAGCTTGAACCATATCTTTAACCTCTCCATATCTAATTTCTGGAGCTGCTCCATACGCCATGGTCACCTGCTCCACTTCCACTCTGCCGCCGTTAACCAGGCGGACGGTGCGGCCGCCATTCCTAATAACTCTGTCGCTTCCTTCTTGTCCGGCAGGGTTCTGCAAATTGCAGTAGACGAAAAGCTTGCCTCTATGGAAGAAGATATCCACCATACGCGCATCGCCAGTGTTCATCTCCACAGCCGTCCACTGCGAATCATCCGGCCTAGAGACGATCAATTGACAGGACTTCGGAATAAAGCGCGCCGGAGCTTTAAAAAAGACAGCCACGGCGAGGTCAATGGAGTCGGTGGAGAAAACTAGAACTTTCGAGATATAATTTCTGGCATTAATGGCGATCTTCCAAAAGATGTTGTGGAACCGCTGGAAACATTCAATCGAACATAGCGAGGGCAGATTCCGAACCTTGCCGGAGAGCGGATTCCATAGCATCATCTGCAAATCCTTATAATCGATACATTCGTCGCCGCAGAGAAGGAGCCAACCCTTGGAAGAGCCGCAGAAACCCCAATCTCCGGTCATCGGAAATATGAATCTGTGTGTCTTCCCACCGAAGCTTTCAAATTTTACAATTTTCCTAGGGCTTGGACACTCTCTTGCGATAGAATATTTTTCTTCAATCATTCGCCATGGAGGTTCGGAAGCTGCCGGAGGGAGAGTCTTATCGGTTAGAGCGGCCTTCCATGCCTTGGATACTGATCTTAATTTAGCGCGATCGATTGTCCATAGCTTCTCGAATATTAGCTCTGCAATTTCGTTAGGAAGTCCATCGATGAGGATCGATTGAGAACTTGACGCCATTGTTAATACGATGTTTTGAATTGATCATCACGATGGAGTTATATAAACATACATTAGGAAATATATCTTGTTTGAAAAGTAAGTCTTAAAGCTGTGCTTCTTTTTGGATTAAATTTGAAGATTTGAGTTTTTCTTTTTAAATAATATTTAATATAAAATTTAATTAGAGAAAAAATATATTTATTTGTTATGACTCATTGCAATTATTGTTTGTTGCCTTTGCCTAGTCATCTATTTAATGACTCATCATGTTGTAATGTATGTATAAATGTCTATTTTGTGAAATAAAAGATTACAAACAATTGATCTCTGTTCACGTATTCTTTCTTTTTTACTTTATCTCTCTAAATATATATATATACACACACGTATATTATTGTTGTTTTTGTTATATTATTCGGAATGTTGCAAAATTTTTGGTAAGTATTTATTTTCTGCAAAATTTGAATGTTCTCCACATACAGCTTCGAGCAGACATTCAATTCCTCCATGTTTAATTGCTCGAGCTGCTCCGTACAACATAGTCACCTGCTCCACTTCCACCGCTAACCAGGCCGACCGTTTGGCGGTCATTTCTGATAACTCTGTCGACATTTTCTTTCAAGGTAGGGTTCTGCAAATTACAGTAAACGAAAAGCTTGCCTCTATGGAATAGAATATCCATTATACACCCTTCGTCGTTGTTCATCTCCACAACCGTCCTCTGCAACTCCTGCGGCATAGAGATGATCAATTGGCAGGAAGAAGGGATATATTTTGCCGGACCTTTCAAAACGATGGCCACTGCAAGGTCAATGGAGTCGGTAGAGAAGATTAGAACTTTTCATATATAGTTTCTGGCATTAATGACTTCCATCAAAGAGCGTTTGATACGCGGCCGGAGAAACTCAATCGACCATAGCGAAGGTAGATTCCGAACCTTGCCGGAGAGCGGATTCCATAGCACCATCTTCAAATCTTTTTTGCTGCCGCAGAAAAGGATCCAACCCTTGGAAGAGCCTCAGAAACCCCAACTTCCGGCCATCGGAAATATGAATTTGTGTATATTCCCATCAAAGCTTTTAAATGTAACAATTTTCTGGCGACTTCGACAGTCTATTGACTCCCACCACTTATCTCCAACGCTTCGCCATGGAGGTTCGGAAGCTGGCGGAGGGAGTTTTATCAGTTAGAGCAGCTTTCCATGCCTTCGATACGGTTCTTAAATTAGCGCAATCAATTGTCCACAGCTTCGTCCATATTAGCTCTGCAATTTCATTAGGAAGTCCATCGATGAGGATGGGTTTGGATTGAGAAGTCGAAGAACTCGATGCCATTGATGAGAATTGTTTTGAACGAACCTATAAGGATGTTAGGGCAATGTATATATAGCGATAAATTAGGGGGAATCTTGTAAGAAAAATAAATCTTGTTAAGTTGTTAGAGTGATGTAATTTTTAAATGAAATCTTATCCATGCTTACTAGATTACATTTAATATTTCTCGAATCTCTTCCTCCAAAACAAACCATATCTACAGCATATTTTTTATTTAATATATTATAAAATAAATAAATAAATTTTCATTGAAACATTCAAACGTTAATACTTCATGAAGAAATATATTGGTAATTTTAGCGTAATTGGATTTATCCTAGACCAATGAATATTGGAATTAAGTGAACTTCGGGATGAGATGCGTGGAGTGTGTAGTGTGTACTCGAAGAAGCTAATTTCGATATGATTTTGACAAGTAACACAAATTCTAAGACAGATTGTTGATACGGCTTTAGTCAGGGGCATGACTAAGCCCGCGGTCTACAAATCTGAAAGTTCCATAATTAAATTTATGGACATAATGTAATAGCTAACTTACTCATGGCCATGACTAAATGGTACAAGCTATTATGGAATTTTCCTGAAATTTTAATTTCAAAATTGTGTTTATTTATGAATTGACCTGTCTAATAATATTTAAATTATGAATTCAAACTTTTGTTTATTTTGAATTCAAATTAATATTTGAATTCAAAGAACATGCTCAGCTTCATTTTAAAATTGAAATTGAAATTGAACTATTGTGTCCAATTTGAATGAAAGTTAATTATGATCTTTAAATAGGTGGGTTGGTCCTATTTGCAGAACATATTGATTGATATAATCGTGTTTTATCACTGCAATAAATTATAGTCATCATACTTATTTTATTTTCTAGATTCACCTTGTCTGGATATTTTATACCAGAATTCGATATTGAACTTTGTATTATCCCAATACGAAATTTGTGTAACCCTGGCTAGAAACTGGGTCAAAACATCGTATTCGAAAAATGAGCTCATCACTATATAGAGTTATATCGGTTATTCTGGATGTTAACCCAATAAAATCCCCAACAAAATATAAAAATAAATTGATGACAATTCAATAGACAAGTAGATGAACCAACGGTGTGGATTCGTCGTCCTTATTTGGTTTTAAGAAGGGGTCCCAAGAAACACAATTCAATTCAGTGCAAGTGGCAATATAAAAGTAAATACCTAACCAACATTGCATTATTATTGAATGACTTACAAGTTCTTGGGTCAAGCTCACAAAGAAAAATCATACTAATAGTGTTTGCAAATACTACACTGCAATATTATTATCCTGTGTCTGTGTGTGTGCTTGAAGATTTCTGGAAATGGCGTATTATGCTGCTCTTGTTTCTCTTGTGCACTTACTCTATGAAACAGTCCATCGTGATCGATACCCAAACTTCCATCTTGGTAGGCAGCCAATCATAAAATCACTCTTCGAAAAATTCAGCCTTCTAGAAGCAATATTGGAGGATTACTCATCCAAAGGCGACGAAGCTAATGACCGTGTCGAAGCACGTATAAGAGATGTGGCGTATCGAGCACAGGATGTTATTGAATCCGAGATCTCGAATCAGATTGAACCAGATGGGATAGACCATGAGTCATATGCTTTTATTAATCAATATGCTGTGGATGAATTGGAGGAGGTGGATCAAGACTTGAACTTTGTTATTGAAGATACAATGGCGATGAAGGAAAGACAATTAGGTATCGGAAGTTTTAAATCAACAGAGTATTATTCTGCAACTGGTGTGTTGAAACAAATGCTCGGAAGAAACACCATGGTGGGATTCGATGAGCAGCTGACCACCATAAAAGATGAGCTTTGTGGACATTCATCACAACTTCAAATCATCCCGATTGCGGGCATGGGTGGAATAGGTAAGACCACTCTGGGTAGACATACCTTTAACGACGCGCTTATTGTATATCACTTTGATATTCGTGGGTGGGTAACCGTGTCTCAAGATTATAACGCGACCAAAGTTCTTCAAAGTATCCTAAACTCCATGGGTATTGCATATGATCCAATGCGCGTAGAGGATGAAAAATTTTTAAAGGAGCTTATATATAAGTCTTTGAAAGGTCATAGGTACCTCATTGTAATAGATGATTTGTGGAGTACGGAAGTTTGGGATGATTTGAAGCATATATTTCCGAATGACTCTAATGGTAGTCGTATCTTGTTAACCACTAGATTAATAGATGTGGCCCGTTACGCCGGTAACTCTTCTTTTCTTCATGAGATGCAATTCCTAAATGTGAATTCAAGTTGGATTTTACTTAGGAAGAAGGTGTTTGTACAAGATCATTGTCCTCCGGAATTGGAGGATATTGGAATGGTTATAGCAAGTAAATGTCGAGGACTTCCACTTGCAATAGTTGTGATTGCTGGCATACTTTCACAAGTCCGGAATCCACAACATTGGAATATGGTAGCAAGGAATGTGGGCTCGTTCTTGAGTGAATCGGGCGATGAACACTTGTCCAATATTCTATCTCTTAGCTATAATCACTTGTCTCATTCACTAAAAGCTTGCTTTCTATACATGGGAAGTTTCCCGGAGGACTATGAAATCAATGTCCGCGGACTTACCAGGCTGTGGGTTGCGGAGGGGTTCTTGAAATTGTCTGATGGATCGAAAACATTGGAGCAAGTGGCCGAGGAATGCCTAGAGGATCTTGTTAAAAGAAATCTTGTTATTATCACAAAGAAAAGGGGAAATGGCCGATTCAAGCAGTGTGTTGTGCACGACATCTTGAGAGATTTCTGTCAACAAAGAGCTGTAAGAGAGTGTTTCTTTCATGGACTCCAATGGTTAAATTGTTTCCGTACGTATGAGAAGGCTTCAAGCTCCTCGACTTCTTGCATGCCATGGGAAGCATTTGGCACTCGTAAACATGTTCGAACAATCCTGTGGTTTAGCAAACGAAACCTTGAAAATACACATGTTTTGGAATCGCGCAGGTTCAGACTGTTGAAAATATTAGATGCAGCCGATGCAGAGCTTCTGTCTGTCCCACGTTTCTTGGATATGATACATCTCAAATACCTCACTCTGCGATTCGATTGTGTCAAAAATGACTCCTATCTTCCAATATTCAGGCTTCCGAATCTTGAAGCCTTAAACTTATATTTTACTTCGATCCACGAAATTGTAGTGCCATATGAAATTTGGAAGATGCGGCGACTAAGGCATCTTATAATTGGTCCGGCGATGGTATTGCTGCCTATTCCAGTGTTTAGTGGCAGCCCTTTCCAAAGACTAGAACATCTGCAAACACTTGAGATGGTAAGGAATTTCGAATTCTCTAATAAGGTGATTGAAATGATTCCCAACATTAGAAAACTGAAGCTTTTTTATGGTGGATTGGACACCATTCATTCTTGGGAGCATTACTCCCTCGACAATCTCTTCCATCTGGTTCAACTTGAGGAGCTGAAAATCAGGTTTAATGTCTTCAGGGATCGAATTTCTCGCACCTTTTGGAGGAGTTTTGTGCTCCTACAGAATCTTAATAAGTTATCTTTGTCTGGTAGCTGTCTCCAATGGGAAGAACTGACAGCCATGGGTTCCCTTCCGAGTCTGCAAGTGCTCAAGCTCGAATGGAATTCATTTGTTGGAGAAACATGGGAACCAATAGAAGGGGAATTTTTGCAGCTCAAGTTCTTGTTCTTAAAGCAATTAAATCTCAAGCACTGGAGAGCAGACAACACACACTTCCCACGCCTTCAACACCTCTATATTCAGGAGTGCCCCCTCCTAAAGGAGATTCCCATCGAAATTGGGGATATTCCAACTCTTGAATCCATTACTGTTCTTATTTCTTGGATTGCAGGATATTCGGCGAAGCTTATTCTAGAAGAACAACGGAGACAGGGAAACGATGTGCTTCAAGTGCATGTTCGCAATTGGGGTTAGTTGGAGTGGACGCCGTCTCAATGACCTAATTTGTGAATAATTAGGTATGAGTTATGAACTATATCTAACATTTTCTAATGATCTGCTTCTAATGTTAGGAATGTTCACTGCATTATTCTGTGATGGAATGGGACAGAGTTGTATTTTTCTCTAACATACACCATTGTTTTGCTTTGCTCATAGAAGATGTATTTGAAATATGGTTACATATATTGATATATACTTTCACAAAAATTATCATATATACTCTAGATAAATATAGTTTGAAAGATAAATAGAATAAGTTATGAAAAATTACCCCATGCTTACCATTCAAATAATTAGTTCGTTATTAGACAAATCCATAAAAAAAATTTAATTTAAAATAATGTGAAAAATATACATATATTTGATATATACTTTCACAAATAAATATTCAAATAATTACTTCATTGAAGAATTGCGCAGATAATCAGTAATCTATTAGAAATTATTGTCAATGTTGAAATAATACCATTGCAAAATAAATTCTTCAGATCATCCAACTCATGAAAATAAAAATCAAATCAAATAAACATAGCTTGTGCTCCTAGTTGTTGGGGAAAAACAGGAAAGATGAAAATATATATATATATATATATCAGATTTGATAGCAATCCTTACTTGGGTAGGTTTTGTTAGATAATCTAAATGACCACTCACATATAAAAGCTTATGTCATCTAACATGCTATCGGAGCAAGTTTCATATGTTGTTGTCTACGAGCAAGTTTCGTCTGTTAGCGTTTATCATCTTGCATACTAAGTAAATGATGCGTACTAACTGCTTAATTTTTTAGATGAGACGGTCATTTACATTGTCTAACAGACTTACAACAAATAACTACGTGAAGATAACAATACAAGAAAACATTCAAGATGATGAAGATCGTCCATAGAAGTTGGAAGAAGAAATCACATATTGCTCTTAATTCTCTTCCAACACTAGTCATCCCAATAAACTCCAAATTAATTTTGCAGTAGCTGCAGCATCCGAACTTCAATCGCGAACGTCGACTTGAAGCTTGTTGTTATCGTAACTCCGTTGATCATTCAGAATTTCGATGGCTGAATTCCCCGCTCGCTGGCTGAACTGCACTTTTATTGACTTAAGAGTTGGAATATCCCCAAAGTTCAGAGGGATCTCCTCCAGCTCACTGCACTCCATGATTCTGAGGTGTTCGAGTCGAGGAAAATGGTCGCGATCTGCTTTCCATTGCACGAGATCTAAGCTTTCCATGAGAAGGAACCTGAGCTTAAGGAACTGATCGTCTTTAGGTTCCCACTCTTCTCCCACCAGCGCGTCCTTTCTCAGCCGAAGAACTTCTAGAAGCTTAAGCGAACCAACTGTGGTCAGCTCCTCCCATGGAAGTCGACAACCTTGTAGAGACAGCTTTGTAAGATTCTGAGGAAACACAAAACTGCTCTGGAAGGAATCAATGTACGAAGAATGCGCTGCATCGAATACAATATTCAGCTTCTCAAGTCGGAGAAGACTGACTAGATTTTCGAGGCAGTACTGTTTCCATATGCCACTGGCTTCTGCACCCCGGCAACTTAATTTTAATTTTCTGATGTTGGGAATCATCCGTGTTGCTTCGTTGGTGAATTCGAAATTTTCAACAGTCTCCAGTGTCTGGAGGTGTTCGAGTTTTTGGAGAGGGATATCGCCGCGTGAAGGGGCAGGCGGTAAGGTGACTCTGTCGATTATAACGTGCCTTAGTTGCGTCATCGTCCAGATTTCAGATGGCAACGAGACCGACGCGGATTGTGGGGCGTGAATATTTATGGTTTGAAGATTCTGAAATTTCGATATTGATGGAGGGAGGCTTCTCTTTTTCCGGGTGGCGAGTCGCAGCGCGAGGTACTTGAGATGAAGCATCCACGAAACTGTAAGCGGGGCGACCGGAGTTTCTATATCAGCTACATCGAGGATTCTCAACAGCTTAACTCTGCTCCAATCCAAACCATGAACATTCGAATCGGTTGTTTTGCAAAACCAGCAAACTGACCGGACATATCTGCCGTCATCATGTTCCCACGGCATAATAGGAGAATGCGGATCTAGAATGACGCGACGTGCTTTCTCAACTCCACTTGAATTAGTCCGGTCTTTGTCGTGAAAGAAACACTCGGAGGCTCCTTTCTGTTGGCATAAATCTCTCAACCGATCGTGTAACACACAAGTCTTGAATTGGCCATTGGCGCTCCTCTTCATGACCATCACAAGACTTCTTTTCACAAGATCGTCTAAATATTCCTCCCCGACTTTCTCCAAGCTTTTAGCGCCGTTAGCAGATTTCAAGAACCCCTCGGCTATCCACAACCTGATGAGCTTTGGGATACTGATTTCATAATCTTCCGGGAAGCTTCCCATGAGTAGAAAGCACGCCTTTAATCGAGAAGGCAAGTGATTATAACTCAAGGATAATATGTCCAATACACGTTCGTCATCTTTACTCAAAACAGAGTCCACATTCCTCGCAATCTTTTCCCAGTTTCCTGGCGTCGTATCACCAGAAAGAATTCCGGCAATAACAACAAGCGCAAGCGGAAGTCCTCCACATCTACTCGCAATAGACCTGCCGGTATTAACCAGTTCAAGAGGACAGTCTCCTTCTCCAAACACCTTCCTTCGAAGCAAATCCCAACTCGACTCCGGGCTTAGGGAATGCATTTCGTGAAGAAAGTTAGGAATATCAGGGTACTCCGCGACATTTTTTAACCGAGTGGTTAAAAGTATCCGACTGCCGGTGTTCTCCGAAGGGAATATATGCTTCAAATCATCCCAAACTTTTTTGTTCCAAACATCGTCTATTACAACGAAGAATTTCTGGCCTGTCAAATACTTGTATATCTGAACCTTCAATGCTGTTTCCTTTCTCCTCCTCTTCTTCTCCAACTCTTCTCTCCGCCTTCGCCGCTTCTTCTCGATTTCAGCTTTTTTCCTTAGTCGCTTCTCCATTTCTTCCACTTCCTTCTTCAGCTTATCGTCTCCTGTTTCTAACATCTTTTTTAATTGCTCGTACAAAGCGAATGTTTCCTCTGTTTCGACTTCATTTTCATCTTTTTCTTCACTGTCTCCCATGGTGTCATTCTCCTCTTCAGGCAATTCATCTATTTTTGTGATACCTAAAGATTTGGCTACGTTTAGAAGAACTCTGATCACATCGTAATCTTGAGATATTGTTACCCATGCCCGACGGCTGAATACACAAACAATGTAAGCATCTTCATAGGTGTTTCTAGCCAAAGATGTCTTTCCTATCCCACCCATACCTGCAATGGATATGCCTTGGAGTTGGGTCGATTCACCACAGACCTCTGCTCGAACTGCGTTCAGGTAATCTTCAAATCCCACCATTGTGTTTTTTCCTGTTTCGAGCTTTTGTTCCGAAGAAACGTAGTCTGCGTGCAGATCTTCTCGCGCCTGGCTTTCTTTTATTGCTTTCACATCTTCTGCAATTGAATCCACTTCTTGCCCCACTTTCTGCAACTCGTCGTCTTCCTCGCATCTATTTTTGGTAGTAAACCCTGATTTTGCGTCGATCTGCTCTATGATTTGGGATTCGAGAATATCCTGCGCTTTATATGCTGCAACTCTGATTCGTCTTTCCAGACGATCTGCAATTTGATCGCCTTTGGAGGAATAATCCTGTAATAATTCGAAAAGAAGGATGGATTTTTGGAGGAGGGATGTGAGGGTGGTTTTGTGGGTTTCGTGGAGAAGATTTGGATCTCGACTGCGATGCAAGATATCGTTGAGTAATTCTACAAGCGAAGCAATAGCTGCATAAGACGCCATTGAAGCTGGTTTCTTTTTCTTCCAAGGGCACAAACACAGAAGTAAGGTCAAACAGAAAAATAATTACGACCCTGTGCTTTGTAAAAAGACATCGATCGATCTTTACAAAGACTGTTGGCCAGTGTTAGACTTGTTGCTTTTGGAGTCGTGGTTGGACAGTCTGTCCAATGTACTTTTTTATTAGTTACTCTTCCGTCCACAGACAAAAAATAAAAAATAAAAAATAAAAATAAAAATAAAAATATATAGTGTAAAGATATATATATATTTTTTTTTATATAAAAATAATGATGTGATATAAAATAAAAGTATTTGTAAAAAAAATTGGATATTTAATGAAATAATTATTTTGGAGATCGAGTAATTTGCAAGTTGGAAAAAGCATCTCCATAATTCTGATCAATATTGCCTCATCGATCACTGTTTTCGCATTATTGCAGCGCTCCTGAAACCCCTTTGTGTTTACTTTTTTGTGTGAGACGAGGAAGAAGATCTTTGGAGGCTATGGCGTATTATGCTGCTCTTACTTCTCTCATGGAGTTACTCGATGATATCATCCATGGTGGTCGATATCCAAACTTTCTCTTGGGGAGACAAGAAATCATGAAATCCCTTCGCAAGAAATTCAGCCTCCTGCTGGATTCGCTGAAAGATTATTCATCCAAAGGTGACGAAGCAGCGGATCGCGTGGAAGGACGAATCAGGGATGCCGCATATCAAGCACAAGATGTTATTGAATTTGGGATATCCAATGAGGTCGATTCGTGTTTCCTGCAGCAGACAGTTGAGGATTTGGCAGAGAGCCTGCGTGAGGTGGAGGAAGAAGTTGATTCGACCTTGGAGGAGCTGGCAATGGCGATGGCCATGGAGGAAGGAACCCAAAGAAGCCAAGATTTGCCACTGCAAAGACCTTATTCTGGCGCTGGTGATATACTGGTGGGAATCGATGAAGATCTACTGAATATTAAAGAGCAGCTCTGTGGACATTCATCCCGACTCCAAGTCATTGCCATTGTTGGGATGGGCGGTATAGGGAAGACCACTTTGGCTAGAGCTGCCTTCGATGATCCGCTTATTGTGGAATACTTTGACTGTCGGGCTTGGGTGACTATATCTCAAGTGTATAGTATGGAACAAATTTGCCGAAGCATCCTGGAATCATTTGGTGCTAATAAGAATAATAATATTCTTGCAGTCTCAAAGGCACATTTAATGGAACTTTTACACAAACATTTGTTTGGTCGGAGATATCTCATTGTAATGGATGATATCTGGGCTAGAGACGCTTGGAATGATATGAAGCGCGTGTTTCCCGACAACTCTAATGGAAGTCGCATCGTGTTAACCACTAGGTTATTAGATTTGGCTTATTATGTCAGCTCTGGTTTCATTCAACAGAAGAGCTTTCTAGATGAAGATAATAGTTGGCATTTGTTGCAGAACAAAGTGTTCGGACAAGAAGCATGCTCGCCGGAATTGGAGGATATTGGAAAGCTTATTACAAAGACCTGTGGAGGACTTCCTCTAGCAATCGTTGCAGCTGCAACTATCCTATCTACGAACAGGACGCGGTATCACTGGAAAGCAGTTGCGGAGAATCTGAATTCTAAATTGAGCAGAGATAATGACATGATCTTTCACGTATTGTTTCGTGAGAGCTACAACAACTTGCCTCATCACCTAAAAGCGTGTTTTTTATATATGGCAAGTTTTCCGGAGGACTGTGAAATCGATGTCTCCAAACTCATCAAGCTGTGGATTGCAGAGGGACTTGTGAGATCAGTTGATGGATCGAAGAGCTTAAAACAAGTGGCCGAGGAATGTTTAGTCGATCTTGTCCAAAGAAGTCTTGTTATGGTCTCGAAGAAGAGAGCCAATGGTGAATTCAAGTCTTGCATCTTGCATGATCTCTACAGGGATTTCTGCATACGTAGAGCTTCCGAGGAACACTTCTTTCATATGGATCGAGACTGGGTTGAAAATGCACGCCACATCAATATCCATGGAACTTTTCGCTATCATGTAAGGCCATACAACATTGGTAATCTCATACGTTCCATACTCTTGTTTGGTAAAACATTTGGTTCGAATTTTTCTGCCATCGAGCCGAGTAGTCTCAAACAGCTGAGAGTATTAGGTGAGCGCGTGACTACAACTTGGCCGATTCCTGAAGAAATCTTCCAAATGTTACATCTAAAATACCTCGACCTTTATCTAGAAGGCCTTAAACCGGGAGCATGCCTTCCTGCATCCATATCTGCACTCAAGAATCTCCAGACCTTAATTATTTTTACTCCCTATGCCTATTCCGTCGCAGTACCTCCTGAAATTTGGAAGATGACGTGGCTTAACCATCTTATAATCAGTGCAATGACGTTGCCGTCTGTTCCTCTGGTTGATGCTCAAAAGCTAGAACACCTGGAAACATTGATGACTGTAAAAAACTTCTTATTCACCAAGGAAGCCATAGAAGTAATCCCCAACCTGAGGAAACTGAAAATAAGTTGCCGTGGAGACAAAGAGAGTGATATTTGGGAGATGCATTGCCTCAACAACCTCGTCCATCTACACCGACTTGAGGAGTTGAAAATCAGAATTCTTTCTACACTATATTCGAATGTTGATTGGATGTTCAGTAGGTTTGTGTTTCCGCTGAATCTCAGGAAGTTGTCGTTGCAAGGCTGCAAATTCTCATGGGAGGAAATGACGGTGGTGGGGTGGTTGCCGGAACTTCTAGTTCTCAGGCTAAGGGAGGATTCAGTTGTGGGAGAAGAATGGGAACCAAGAAAAGGTGAATTTCGTCGACTTAAGTTCCTGTTGATTGAAAGGTTAGATCTCAAGTGTTGGCGAGCACAACACACAAACTTCCCGTGCCTCGAACACTTAAAAATCAAAGAGTGCTTCAATCTGGAGGAGATCCCTGCTGGGATTGGAGATGTTCCAACTCTGGAATCCATCAAACTATACGGAAGCGAACTTGCAAGAAATTCAGCTATCCTAATTCAGGAAAATCAACAGAGATATAAAACTGGCTTGCTTCAAGTTCACATTTTCGACTGATAGTTTTGGTGAAGGTAGTCGATCATATTTTTGAACCGTGTCTTAAACCATTCGCCATCTTCTTAACAAGCTTGCTTTATAATTGTCTTTGTAGTTTTCAACAACTCTTCTTGTATGATCCTTTACAGTCTTTCGAAAAATATGTGCATGCATTGTTAGGATGTGGAGCCTATAAGAAGCTCGAAAAAACATTGAGCTACGTACTGGTGGATCGGTTTCTATTTATATTTTTTCGCAATTTCATCTAAGGAATCGAATTGAGTAACCAAATCTTGTATTTTTTGTTTTCATTAGTTCTTCATGGTATAACTTGCACACGAGCACGCCAAATCTTGAATTTTTGCTATTGCGCTGTGTTCGTTAACAGGATTTTGTTCGAACAAGTGAATGGAAGAGGAGGCAAGCTCAAGAACGACTGCGGCGCAATGTAACAGAGCAGCTGCAGAAGCTGGAGAGTAGCTTGTCAATGAGCACATTCACTTCCTGTTCTTACAACATTATGTGAGTTTCAGGACAAGTCTTGATTCGGTTTTTACCCTGCCATATGATCGATCATCTTTTTTGTAAGAGAGCTTTCGATGAACTATCCAATGAGTTTGAGATTTGATTTTCATCATTTGTTTCTTTGATCATTATGATTCATTAAACTTAATCAATACGTATTTTGTTACAACTTTCTTTACAATAGAATTGTTATAAATGAAATAAAAATTTTTACAAAATATTATCCTCCCTCCGTAGAAATGTTACTATTTAGTTTGCAGATAGAATTTTCAATATTAGTATTATATTAGATTATAATGTAAAAGACAAAAATACTCATATCGTAATATTGTGTAATATAAAAAAATAATAACATTTGTAATATAGTGCAAGTTGGAAGGTATTTATTATATCAGATAAGTAATACAATTACTGATAACTTGTTTTTGGACAGATAGAAATGGAAACTGACAATCTTTCATGGGACTGATGGAGTAAAATGATCTAACTCGAGAAAAAATACTTCTACTTAAATAATAATCATATATTCTCTCTGTTATTCAATTGTGTGTTCATTTGACAGGAAGTGAATTTTAAGAAAAATAGATAAAAATAGAAAATTTTATTTTTTGGTAAAGAAAAAAAATAGAAAAAGCTGGTATTTTGTTATTAAAAAATAAAATGACAATAAATTTTGATGACAATTAAAAAAAAAGAATAAATTTAGATAACGGAAAAAGAAAGTAACAAATAACAATTGAGTATAAAACAAACACCAAAAGTAAGTTAGTTTGTATTCGAATAAGTTATCTGTGAGTTATTTAGATGATGATCTGAGTACGAATAAACCTGCGCACAAATAATAAATCAAATCGAACATCAAATTTATTTATCTTTGTCCTCCAAATTGACCTACCTTTAGGGTTTTAATCCAGATTTCTTTTTTTACTAAAATTTTCATTCAATACATGATTCAGTTCATCACAAACACAAATTATACAATAGGCACACACAACATAATTAAAATGTAAATGTAATCTTTTCGAAGCCTCCAGGTCCACCTGTCACACATGGTTCGTCTAGTGTGACTTGTCTTGTCGAGCCTAAAGTACAGGGCATTAGGTTCGACCAGTAATTTACCCAGAGCGCATCTTCGGATAGCGATTGTAGATTCTCATATTATTAAAAAAAAAATGTAGGTTGTGTTTACATGTGATTTTGATTTTGGATTTTAGTTTTAAATAGTAAAATAATATGATAAAAAACGTTGATTTGATATTTGAAAAAAAAAAAAAAAAAAGGTTAAAGAATAGCAAAACCAAATTTCACAAATAAATTCCTCAAAGAAACGATTTTTAAGCCACAGCTTCTGTAACTTGTGAAGTCAATAATAAGGACAAAAATAATAAAATAAAATAAAATGATTGAAATAAAAATGGATCGAATCTTATTCAGATCGAGCATGTTCGTGTGATTAATCTATTGGATATGCCCCACAAATACGACAATAAATCAATAATAAACGTGGTTACTGCTGCATGCATATTTATGGCCATTGGTTGATTCTTTGCTCGAAAATTTTTATTTTACTATTTTAATTGAAATACCACTAATGTATTTACAATATTATATCTCTTTAATACATGTATTTAATACTTTCAATTTCTATTGTCCTAAAATATATTTGCACAGTTTTTTAGGTGATTATTTTTTGTTATAAATGGACAAATTTGTCTTAAGTGTATGGTAGAAGGGACTGTTTGGTTCATTGATTTTTTTGGTGGGATTGAGATTTCACAGTATGATTTATATGTGATGAGATTTATTATATTTAGAATTTGGAATCACATATTATGTTTGGTTGGTAAAATGTGGTGGGATTTATATTTGGTGGATTTGAATTTTTTATATTCTAAATGACATAATTGTCCTCTTATGGATTTTATTTATTTTGACAAATTAAACATCTAATTCATTATTAATATAAATTGAAAAGATATCAATAATTTTATAGAATGATAATAGATTAGCGTAAACTCGAAACCCGACCGAGTCCGACCTATTTACTTGAAGTTGTGTCCAATTATTTGAGTATTAGGTCTGGATCTGGATCATGATTAGGGTAATATAATAATAATATATCAACCATACATATCCAAAAAAATAATTTCGAATAATATAATAATATTTTTCTAATAAAATACATAAATTTTAATATTCATTGGATCCGGTACATGTATAATTTTAAATTAAAATTTAAGAATTGTAAAAAAATGGATTTTTGGGATCCATCAAGTCTTACCGGGTATAGTCTCAGTCGGATCTAATATAATCGGATCCAATTTGAATCTCGGATTTAACAATATATATTTGGGATCAGTTCCGACTGAACCCGACTTATGATCGTCCCTATAATTTTATAATTCAAATAAAATTTATAATAAATAATAATTTAAACAATAAATTTATTAATTTATTTAAAAAATATTTACAATAAAAAATAATATAAATTTAATTAAGTATATAATTCAAATAATAATTAATGTTAAAATTATTTAATTTTTTATATAAATATAATATTTTTTCTTTATAAGAGGATATAAATGTAAAAATTAAAATTTTAAGAATAGGATTTAAAAGTAATAGGAGTATCCCATTACAAAAAAATTCCTTATTTGTAGGATTTTAGACTTTTTTCAAATCCCATCATTTTAAATTCCACTTTTTTTTTTCTTAACCAAACGGATTTCATAGATTTTAAAATCCAAATCTCATAGAATCCCATCAAATCCTTGAACCAAACAGCCAAAAGAATAAATAAATGAAGAGTAAAAATGTAAAATTTGTGTTTAAAAAATAAAATAGGACAATAGTTGTTGGACGTTTCAAATAGGAAAGTAAAATATTAGTTTGTGGACGGAGGGAGTATAATATTATTTTTAAAAAATAAAATTATACTCTCTCCGTATGACTTTTTTTTTTTAGGTTCACAAAAATGATCTCTTTAATTTTATCAATCTTAAACATACTTAACAAATATAAATCAATTTAATTAAACTTCTAACATTTTACACGTAAGACCCACTCAAAACTCTTTTATTTCTATCTCTCCTTAATTAACATAATTTTTTATCTATATTTAAAACTCTTCATTTTTTATAAAATTAATTTATGGTAATGATAAATAAATAAAAATATATATAAAATTTTACTATCTATAGAATATCTGCATATATTTTTTTAGATATAATCTTAAAAATTTTTAAAATACCAATAATATTATTCATATAAAAAAATAATAAATTAATATCATAATTTATTATTAATAACTTACTAATCTACACTATCTAAAAAATCGTGTCCCTAATAAAAAGATTCATCCCTCGCGGGACGAAGGGAGTATATAATATAAATAAATAAATAAAATATATAATTAATATAAAATAAATTTTTTAAAATATAAATTTTAAATTATGTATAAATAAATATATTTTTTATTTAAGAAAGTAATAAAAATATAATATATTTCCTCAGTTCTACCAAAATATACATTTTTAATGTTCTCATTTAAATGTCATTATTCTAGTTAAAATTGATAAATTTTGATAATTGATTTTTTACTAATTCAAATTAATTTATTTAATTGTTTTATTAATAATTATGTCAACCAATTATTTTTAATTATTTTTTAGTTATAACTAATAAAAATAAACTTGACCAAAAAATCCTAAAACTCATTCGAGCTATAATATGAAAAACTAAACTTTAGACCGAACCAAATTGAAACTTTTATAAAACAAAAATAATTCTTTAGGGTATAAAAATTCAAATCTTAAACCAAACACATTGTTCAAATATAAAACTTATCCGTGCCAAAATTAATTTATATCAATTTTACTCATAAATATTAAATAAGCAAAAAAAAAAAAAAATTCGTCGTCCCAATTCAAATTCTCCTTCAAAGTATTCTTTAAAATAATTATACATTAATACTAAAAATATATTTAATTTTAATTAAATTATAAATATATTATTACATATATTATTATTTAAAAAAAAAAAGAAAAGGTCAAAACTCTATATATTTTACTGAGATAAAACTATCAAATTAATTAAATTAAAAATAATTAATTTTTTAATAAACATTGAGATACCACTTTGTTACAATAATCATATTAATAAATTAAAAATAATTAATTTTTAGTTTATTTCATATTTCATGTTATTTTTATTTTTTAAAAAATATATTTTAATTTTATTTTAAATTTTAATTTTTTTTTAATTTTAATTAAACTAATTACTTATTTTAATTTTAATTTATAATAATTTATATTAAAATTTAATTAGTTTTGTTAATATATTTTTAATTATTTATTAATTATATTTCTCGTATATATATAGTAACGAGAACTTCTAACTTTAAAGACGGAGGGTGGAAGTATTTTTTTAAAAAAGAAAAAAAAAAAGAACAAAAAAAGTCGAGAATAACGTGGCATAATTGAATTATATATAACGTTACAGTACTCTGCACCTTCCCGAAGGAACCAATCAAGTCAACCCACATCAATTTGCATTCAATCAGTGCAACCCATTCCTCCGGCGGGCCCGCCTCCTCCCGGCACCACCCAATCCTCAACCAATCTCAGCTGCCAAAGAAGAGAAAACCCAATCTCAGCTCCCAATCTCGGCCGTTCCCTCCGCCACATCTCCGGCGTCGCAATTCCGGCGAATCAGAACCAAAAATAGCGTGTAGGTCCTTGTGTGGGCAGCAGCCGCTACCTATTTCACTACTTCACTTCATTCGCAGCTAGGAAAATCTGTAAATCGCTGAATCTCGAAGACAGGATTTTTTTGGCGGTTTTTCAGGTGTTCGAAGCCTAGCTGAAGATGCAGGTGCTGAGGCGGAGGAGAGCGGCGGAGAAGGAGCCGGAGAGAATCTCCGACCCGGACGAGGTGAAGCCGGACACTCGAAAACCGGAGAAGCACAACAAGTGGTCTTGTTTGGATAGTTGCTGCTGGTTGATTGGGTGCATATGCGTCGCGTGGTGGGGACTGCTGTTTATGTACAATTTGATGCCTTCCTCATTTCCCCAATATGTGGCCGAGGTCATAACCGGTCCTATGCCCGATCCGCCCGGCGTGAAGTTGAAGAAGGAAGGTTTAACTGCCAAGCATCCTGTGGTTTTCGTGCCTGGAATTGTGACGGCGGGGTTGGAGCTGTGGGAAGGGCATCAGTGTGCGGAGGGGTTGTTTAGGAAGAGATTGTGGGGAGGAACATTCGGAGAGGTCTACAAGAGGTAATTCTGCGTTTTGGTTGTTCTATATGTGTTCTTCATTGATTTAGGTTCAATTGAATTGACTGATTAGGGAAGAAAGGGGTTGGAATCCTGGAAAGGGAATGAACACGTTGTTACAATGTTTCCTTACAAGGAAATGCTGAGTTTGTTAGATCTATAAATTTTTCCCTAAAAAGAAATCTGCATTTAGTGAAGGATAATGTGAAGTTGTTGTTCTTGATAGAAACTTGTTGAATTAGGAAATATCATATATTGAATTGTAGCTGGAATTGCTTCAATGGAGGTGTGTTTGAACTGTTTTTATGTTGCTGTGTTTGTTTAATCCGATTGTATTGTTAGCGATTCTGTCTCGCCTCTTCATTAGCTTGATTATCGAATCTTTTGGTATGGTTTGTATAGTTTCCTCATGGTTAGGGGCTTATGGTCCAAGTTCTTGAAGTCTTGAAATGTCCAAAAATAGGAATGCTGAGAATGTTAATGATCTTTCGAGGATTTAATTGATTCGCGGTGCTTCTAGTTCCTATGATATCTGCCGTTTGCCGAATTCTGCAGGCCCTTGTGTTGGGTGGAGCATATGTCCCTTAACAACGAAACTGGTCTGGATCCTTGCGGTATTCGGGTCAGACCGGTAGCTGGTCTGGTCGCTGCCGATTATTTTGCTCCCGGGTATTTTGTCTGGGCTGTTCTGATAGCTAATCTTGCTCAGATTGGGTATGAGGAGAAAACAATGTATATGGCTTCATATGACTGGAGACTTTCATTTCAGAACACTGAGGTTAATCATTCAATGGTTATACATACATTTGTGTATATATATATATATGCTCGATTTGATAGGATCGTTGATTTTGGATTTGATGGCGTGTTTACTTCAGGTGCGTGACCAGGCCCTCAGTAGAATAAAGAGCAACATAGAGCTGATGGTCTCTACGAATGGCGGGAAAAAAGCTGTGATCATTCCACATTCTATGGGAGTCATATACTTCTTGCATTTTATGAAATGGGTAGAAGCGCCTGCGCCGATGGGTGGAGGTGGCGGACCGGATTGGTGTGCCAAGCATATTAAGGCGGTGCTGAACATCGGTGGACCTCTTTTAGGCGTTCCGAAAGCTGTCTCTGGGCTCTTCTCTGCAGAAGCAAGGGACATCGCCGTTGCCAGGTACATTTGTGAATGTCATTTCTGAAAAATCGTTGAACTTTGATGTCTACGAGATTAAATGGTTTAGCTTGAAACTGCTGAATCATATGTCGGATGTGTTGTTGTACTACAGAGCAATAGCACCAGGTGTTCTCGACAAGGATTTGTTCCATTTCCAAACTCTACAGCATATAATGCGAATGACGAGGACATGGGATTCGACAATGTCTATGATACCTAGAGGCGGCGACACCATTTGGGGTGGTCTGGACTGGGCGCCCGAGGAAGGCCATGTCCCTAGCCGAAGAAAGAAAAACAATAATGGCGATGATACTACCGAAAATTCTGCAAGTCCTGAGGATGAGGCGAGTGAATCAAAGGGGAGCTGTGTACATTATGGCCGGATTATATCATTTGGGAAAGATTTAGCAGAGGCAGATTCTTCTGAGATTCAGAGAGTCGACTTTCGGGTAGCCATTTGCTAAAAATCGAAGTTCTGTGATATGCTAAGGATGCTCGGCGTTTACTTGATTTACGATAACTCAATGCAGGATGCCGTAAAGGGTAACAACATGGACAATAGCACCTGCAGCGAAGTGTGGACCGAGTATCACGATATGGGTATTGGCGGCGTCAAAGCCGTGGCTGAATACAAAGTCTACACTGCTGGAGACATTGTCGACCTCTTAACCTTCGTCGCTCCAAAAATGATGGCTCGTGGTAGCGCTCATTATTCGTATGGGATAGCCGATGATTTGGATGACCCGAAGTATAGTCACTACAAGTATTGGTCGAATCCTTTAGAAACAAAGTGAGACGGTGCTCTTCTTATCTACGTTCGATATTATTACTATCCGCGATGCTTTGATACCTTCGATTTGTATTTTATTTTTGAAACTCCGCCTTGCAGGTTGCCTAATGCCCCCGAAATGGAGATCATCTCAATGTACGGAGTCGGGATTCCAACTGAGCGCGCGTATGTCTACAAGCAAGTTCCATCAACGGACTGCTACATTCCATTCCAAATCGACACATCTGCAGATGAAGAACACGAAGATATGTGCTTGAAGGACGGCGTCTACACTGTGGATGGCGACGAAACCGTGCCTGTTTTGAGCGCGGGGTACATGAGCGCGAAAGCTTGGCGAGGGAAAACTCGATTTAACCCTTCGGGCATCAAGAACTACGTCAGGGAATACGACCACGCTCCCCCGGCTACTCTTCTAGAAGGCCGCGGCACACAGAGTGGCGCCCATGTCGATATCATGGGAAACTTCGCCTTGATCGAGGATATCATGAGGGTTGCTGCTGGAGCTACTGGCAACGAGCTGGGAGGCGACAGGGTGTACTCGGACATCTTCGACTGGTCGGAGAAGATTAAGCTACGACTTTAACAATTAGACTATGCAAGAATCTGATATAAATGTCGAGGAGCTCAATGTGTTGTCATCTGCATCGAAGAAGATCGAAATTTGTGGCATTGTTTGTGTTACAGTAGTTGGTATTAACAGCACAGACGACAACGATCGGAAGCGAGGTGGATCGACGATTTAGCCTCAGCTGATGCGAGTTTTTGGTGAAGAATATCAGCTTGGGGACATTGCAAGAGCTCTGGTAACGTTGTTGTTGTTAATGTTGTATTGTAATTTTTATTTGTTTTATAAGAAGCTGCCATAGAAGATAGAATGGTTTCGTATGTGAAGAAGGTATGCTCTATGCTTGTATACGTCTCTGCATATATAGACATATGAAGTTAGAGTTTAACTTTTTTCGGATTTTGATTTCTGTTGTTATGAGTTTAAACGGTTTGATTTTGTTAGATGATGTAAATGACCGTCTTACCTAAAAATTTAAGCTTTTAGAATACGTATGATTTATTTATTTATCTACAATCGAGAGTTAACCAACATCAGTTCCAATAGGTTACTGATTATCGGCTCAATTCTTCGATCTTATATTTTGCATTGCTCGACAAAATTCCAAAGAATCTAAAGCTCTTCGGCGTAGGCACACATAAAGACAGTTAAAATTTTCATTATAAACTTACTACAGGCTTAGCTCCAACTTCATATCGAAAGCTTATTGTTAACAAGAACTTGAAGCATATCATTTCCCAGGCTTTGTTGTTCTTCTAGAATAAGCTTAGCAGAGTCTTCTGCCTCCCTGCTGCAATCATATACAGTAATGGATTCGAGCAGCGAAATCTCCCCGATTTCCATGGGAATCTCCTCTAAATATATGCACTTGATGATTTTAAGGCGTCGAAGGAGTGGGAAATGTGTGTTATCAGCTCTCCAAATCTTGAGATCTAACCCTTTCATGAGCAAGAACTTGAGCTGCCGAAATTCACCTTCTATCGGTTCCCATTCTTGTCCGGTAAATGCATCGTCGTTTATCCTGAGAACTTGCAGACTCGGAAGGGAGCCGACTGCTGTCATTTTATTCCACGAGATTCTGCAACCAGACAGAGATAATTTCTTAAGATTCAATGGGAAGACAATGTTATCCTTCAATGAAGTACGACCACGTTTGAAATGATCATCGAAACAGATCTTCAGCTCCTCGAGTAGGGTCAGATGGACAAGATTGCCGAGGCAATACTTCTTCCAGAATTCATCTCCTCCATCAGTGATGATCATTTTCAATTTTCTGAGGTTCGGAATAATTTCTACAGCCTTTTTGGTGTATACGAAATCCTTTACTGTCTCGAGCGTCTGTAGGTGTTCAAGTATCAAAACAGGCGTAAACTTAGGAATAGGCGGCAATATCATCGTCTTCGTGGATATAACATGCCTTAGTTGCAGCTTCTGCCAAAATTCAGTTGGCAATTTCGAGCAGTGATCAAGAATAACAATCGTTTGGAGATTCCAAAGCTTGAATATGCGACGAAGGTGGAATCGTTGTCTCCCAGCTCGTTTCACAGCAATGTATCTAAGATGGAACATCGACGAGACTGCCTGTGGGACAGAACTAAGCTCTGCATCGGATACATCCAATATTTTCAGCAGTCGGAAGCTAAGACATCCGAAGAGGAAGCCATTGTCGATGAATGCTCTGCTAAACCATAGGATTGTCCGGACACGGTTGCGAGCACCATAGTCCAACCACGGCTTGTGAAAATCATACACTTCCGTGTTTTGGCGTATGGATTCCTCGTACCAATCGAAGCATTTTTTCCAATCTAATCCGTGAAAGAAACATTCTTGTACAGCTCTTTGTCGACAGAAATCTCTCAAAAGATCGTGCATCATGCAGTACTTGAATCGTCCGATCGCGCTTTTCTTTAAGACAAGAACAAGATTTCTCTTCACTAGATCCTCTAGACATTCCTCGGCCACTTGCTCTAATGTTTTGGAACTTTCGACAGATTTCAAGAACCCCTCAGCAACCCACAACCTCGTGAGCCTACAAACATTGATTTCATAGTCTTCAGGAAAACTTCCGAGGTACAAAAAGCAAGCTTTGAGCAAATGCGACAGTTGATTGTAGCTTAAAGATAGAATATTGGACAAGTTTTCGTCGCCGGATTTATTCAAGAAAGAATTCACATTCCGAGCAACCTCTTCCCAATGATGTAGTGTTCGGACATCTGAAAGAACACCGGCAATTACTACGATTGCGAGAGGAAGCCCGCGACATTTACTCGCTATAAACTTTCCAACCTCTTCCAATTCTAGAGGACATTGTTCTTGCGCAAACACTTTCTCCCGAAGTAAATTCCAACTTGTATCAACATCCAAGAATTGCATCTCATGAAGAAACTCGGAGCTGCGTACATAATGAGCGACATCCGATAATCTAGTAGTTAACAAGATGCGACTTCCATCGGAGACATTTGGGAATGCATTCTTTGTATCATCCCAAACTTCCGTACTCCATACATCATCTATTACTAAGAGATATCTTCGACCTATTAAGTGCTTGTATATATGCTCCTTTAAAAAATCCTCGTCCTCTCCATGAAAGCCGTCAATATTAACACCCATATTTTTTAAGATGCTACAAAGAACTCCGATCACATCATAATCTTGAGTTACAGTTACCCAAGCACGACGATCAAAATGATACACAGATCGCGGATCATCAAAAGCAGCTCGAGCCAAAGTGGTCTTGCCTATTCCACCCATTCCAACGACGGGAATGACTTGAAGTTGCGACGAATGTCCGCAGAGCTGGTCCTTAATTATGGTCAGATATTCATCGAATCCCACCATAACATCATCTCTTCGACTACGGCCTTTTGGGAGTTTAGCAACACCAAGAACAGTAGAACACCCACGAATCTGCAAATTTCGACTTATTTGTTGCCTTTCCTCGGCTACAGCCATCTTCAGCTCGTCGACAACATAATCAACTTTTTGCTCCACGTCACGCAGATTTTCATTACACTCCTCAGTTCTCAGATGCCAAAACAAATCTTGGCAACAAAAAATCAGAGGATAAATTTTTTTTATTGTTACATCTGATCTGAAATCTATGTGACCTGTGATATTAGATTCAATAACATCCTGCGCTCGATATGCCACTTCTCTTATGTGAGCTTCCACGCGGTCACTAACTTCGTCGCCTTCGGATGAATAATCTTGCAATGATGCTTCAAGAAGACTGAATTTTTCGAGAAGTGATTTTACAATTGGATGTTTACCAAGGAGGATATTTGGGTATCGATCACGATGGACTATTTCCTCGAGTAAGTGCACAAGAGAAGCAAGAGCAGCATAATACCCCATTTCCAGCGATCTTATTGCAGTGCAGTAATGGCTACCAAATGGTTTTCCCCTTGTGATATGAAGAAGAATGTTCAGATTAGAACACTTGACCTGGAGACACAATTGAGATTACTTATCTCAGCACTTTGGAAATTTATATTATAGTTTGAATCGGTCAACAATACCTCTATATATAATAATATTGTAGTTAGGCATTTAGTAGCAACTTGCACATTCATTAAGCCATCAATAGCTATGCTTCTTGGAATAGTTCAATATACAATTTATTTTCTTTGTTAACTAAGGGATGATAATATATATATATATATATATATCCGTTCGATTCTAACGGTCTCGTTGATCTTTGAATATTAATTATTATATCAAAATGTAATATAAATTAAAAATATTTTTAATATTAAGTACAACGACGGCAAAAGATAAATGTGATCCTAAGCAAGCGGATAGAGTATATGTTTGTATGTTTAAAGGAATGTTTGTTGTATTCTTAGTTTCTAAGATATAAAAATTTTATAACATATCATCACGGTGAATCAAATAAATTATAAAATTTTTGTTGACTTTAGCCTATTATTAAAAAGAAATATATCATATAATGTTTACCACTTCTCTTGTCCTAATCATATCTACCAAATAAGACCATCTCCAACCGAGATGGAACATCCCCGCCACATATGGAGGGAGAGGGCGAAAAATCATCTTCCAATGTATCAAATGAACAGAATAACAGTGTCACCTAAAAATTCAAGAACGGAAGTTCCAACAAATGAATTTCATGCTTTTGTGTCTCCCCAAGAGAAAGTTTGAATGTGGACAGCCATGACAGAAGCAAGAGCAGCATAGATAATCATATATTCCAAAGATCTTAATATCTAAAAATCAGCTTAATATTTAATTCTATTTTCTACATGAAAAAAAAAATCCAAAAAGTATAAAAAGATTCCTCTTCCAAAATTCGAACCCGAAAATTGTTGAGGATTTTGCATTCATAAATTGGCAACTTGATTACTAGCAACATCCAAAATTGTAAAAATTAGGTTTTCAAGAACTTTTCATCCTAAACCCCGTAAATAACTAAAATATGCATGCAGAAATATAATAAAGGAGAGTAAATTTTGAATGTGAGCGTAGTTGAATTGTTTGTTCTTGATTGCCAACAGAACATGCATATCACATCTATAATTTTTTTATACACAAGCGTAACTAATAAATAAAATAGGGTTATTAACACTGACTTGTCTTTTTAGTATAAATGACAAAACACTTTTTATTTTATTTATTTCGTGAAAGTCGATCGTGTTCATATAAATTTTGTATACACCGTTATAAATAAAGATCTAATTATACAAATAAAAACAAATAAAAACACAAGAGAGTAAATTATGTAACATTTTTTGTGAAATTAAAACAATATGTTTTATACATTTCTACTAAAATACAGAGTATTATATAATTTATCTGATAAAATAATATATGAAACAAACTAACCTAACGGGATAAAGAAATATTAAAATTTTAAAAAATTCTATTAGATATTTTCGATAAAATTTAATTTTTAATCTCTGGTAAATAAAGTTTAACCACCTTTTTCGGTCCATCAGGCCTGGTCCAAAAATATTAATGAATTTTGAATTATTTAAAAAATAGAATGTATTTGTTTTTTTATTTTAAATAAAAACTACTAATATTCAATTAAAATACTATTTAAATCAACAATCTATTTTAAATCAATTTTAAATCAAAATCAAACACACATAATATACTTGATTAATAATAAATTAAATTTGTTAAAAGTATTTATAAACAAATATATATACACATACCTAAACTATTTTAGTAAATTTAAAATTTGTTCTAAGTATTTCTAAACAAATACATGGCTTTGTTTATTTAGTATTTTGATTTGAAATTTTTTATACCATGAATATGAATAGATAACTGTATTAATAATATAAAATATAATGTTCTACTTAAAGTATTGACTTTAAAATATATATATTGAAAATTGCTTTAAAAAAATGACCAAACAAATCCATATATACATACCTAAAATATTTTAGTAAATTGAAGATTTGTTAAAGTATTTTATCTAGGGAAATATATATATGTATATATGTACCTAAAATATTTTAGAAAATTTGTTAAAATATTTTATATAAGGAAATATATCTATATATATATATACACACAGCATACCTAAAATGTTTTAGCAATCGCTATATTTAATTTTTTTTATCATATCCTTAATTTTTGGGGTTTTTATAATTGTTAAACTAAACATATTTAGTTGGTGATTTTTTTTCAATAATAATGTAGATGTTGATAAAAAAAAAATAAATAAATAAATTGTATTTTTTAAATAAATGATAAAAAATTAAATACTAAAAAAAGTTAACAAAAGAAATAATTAAATTTATTAATATTTTATTTAATTTATAAGATATTAATATAAAAAATCATATTTTAAATTTAATTTTAATTTTTTTAAAAAATAATAAAATATATATTATATATATTTAAAACCGTGTAAATTAAAAAATTTATATAAAAGAATTTATTTTTAAAATATAATTTTATTTTATTAATAAAACAAAAAAAATCAATAAGGCCCAAAACTATAGTAATCAACGATCCCAAAAAAGCCAAAATAGAAGCAAGTTTAACAATTAAATAAAAACATTCAAACCCGAATATAATTCGGGTCGGATCACCGAATCATATACAATACAGATTATAAATCTCTAAACTGAGGCCTATATATAATCATCGGTGATCGTATTACTACAGAAGGCTCTTGATTTTTCTTGATTTTCTCTGCTACTAGTCCAGATTTGGCGTGGCACTACCATATCGTCGTACTCTCCGGTTTTCCTCTATGATCTAGCTTCCGTCTCGATCGCTTCTTCTATTTCCATAGTTAGTGTCTCTCCCGAATTATGCATGCAGTTTTGTTAATGATTTTTTTTCGCTGATCGGTGGGTTCGGATTCGTGGTGTTGTAGGGAAGATTTCTCTAGGGTTTTTTCTATTTAAGGGAAAAATTGGTTCTAGGTTTCGGGGGTTCTACTTAATTTTCGATTTTTTCCGATGAATGCTTGGATTAACGAGGAAATTAAATTGCCGTGATTCTATTTACTATTTGTGTCATGTCTGATTTTCGAGATATTTTTCGAATGTACGTCCCTATTTCAATTTGATTTTGGTTAATGGGTGATAGTAGAGTTAATTGAGTTTGAACGGTTGAGGTTGTTGTTCTAGGCAAGGAAATTGATTTGAAGATGCATGGCGGCGGCTAGTTTACTATTTATGTGAAAATTTTCCGCCCTTTTCGAATCTTAGTTGTCAAATTACGTTTTTTCAAAATCTTGGGTTGATTGTGATTGTTGATTGTTGATTGAGTGAATACAATTGGATTTTACAGCTTGGAGATTATTTCTAGTCAAATCATATATGAAAAGGTTTGTGTAACAGTAACTACTGTTTCTTTTTACCACCTGAGGGGTTTTGATTGGTAGGTAAGAGATTTGCTAAGAAATTTAACGGTGACTTAGAGTAGGATTGACTAAACGAGTGGGGTTACTGACCAGGTATTTTGATGGAAGTTTCTTTCTTCCTATGATTTCTGAAACTTATGGATACACTCTGCAATATGTATGTTACATACATTGGGATCGAATTACGGGTTCTGGATGAAATTGTATTTTCTATTTTTGAGTGTATAAAAGGTTGAAATTCTGAATTCCATGTTCGATGCACCTACAAATTGAAAAAAAGGAGATAACATCAGCATTTTATTTTGCTGGAAATTATTGGATATTGTCACTTTTATATTCTCTTTGTCATTTATATTAAATTGACTGTTTTTTGTTTACACGCTTCTGTTAATATTGTAGTCATTTCTCCCGAGTCATCTGTTGAGTGAATATGCATAAGGTTGTGCATCCTACATATCCATATAATGGATATAACCGTCATAAAGTTGAAAGAGATGCTGTATCCAGAGCTGATAACAAGTTACAGACAATGAAAACAAATTCCAGCTGGACTAGTTTTGGTATGTGTTCGCTACAATTTAATTTCCATCTGCAACATTAATGTTACTGTGCTCTACCGAAGTGGTTTTAGGTAAAATGGGGAGTTTTGAATCATCTTCGAGTGAAAGATTAGTGCATATAACCTCATGCCTCATTGGTCATGAAGTCGATGTTTGCTTGCTGGATGGATCTATATATTCTGGGATATTTCAAGCCAGAAATGCAGAGAATTGTGGTATGCTAACATAGTTCTACATTCGTGTACATAGTAACTGCATTTGTGTAAAAAAGCAATGTTTTCAATCACTATAAATTGTAATGTAATTCTCTTAGTTTGTGCAGAAATTGTTTTGGAAAAGGCTGGCTTAGTTAAAGGTGGTTCTGGTTGCTCAAAAGATATTTCAGGAAATACTACTGGGATGTTGGTTATTTCTCTTGCGGATCTTGAACAAGTGAAAGCAAAGGTTTGCTTGTCTCCTTCCACCAAATTGATTCAACTCTTGTAAATTGTGTCAGATCTAGGCTGCGAAATCGACATTATGAAAATTCCACTGTGTACACTGATGTTTGTAGAAATACTGAATCGATGGTTTTTGTGCAGCTGTTCAAGAATTCTGAAAAGGTTTTTATGCTATTGGATTTTGTTCGACAATGCAATGACTAGCTTTTTTTTCATTGAATGCAATAGGGGGTGCCTTTAACGAGGGATGAGCAAACAACCGAGCTGTTGCAACAAAATCAGCTAAAGCACTTTACTGATTCCTGCCTATCAAAGTCCCAGAAAGTGGAGAGAGAATTAGAACGTTGGGTCCCTGATGCAAATGATCCTTCGTGTCCTGATATGGAGAATACATTTGATAGTAACATGAATAGGTTGTGGATATATTCCTCTTCTCAGATTTTTCCTTGAATGAATGACCTTTGGTTTGTTTGTTTTTTTCGAAAAGGCTCGCCATCATATTCATTTATACCATAATTTTAGTTGTAGTAAAGCCATGGTAAATCTTGCTGTTTAAGTTTTGCTATATTGTTCAGCTTTCTGAAGAATTTTTTTTTTTTTGTGTTCTGACTTCTGCTATGCTTTGCTATGTCCATTAGAAGCTGGGATCAGTTTGAAACAAATGAAACTTTATTTGGAGTGAAAACCACCTATTGTGAGGAACTTTACACAACAAAGCTTGAAAAGGGCCCTTGTACAAGAGACCAGGAAAGAATGGCAGAACTTATAGAAAGAGAGATTGAGGAAACCTCTGATCTCCATCTGGCAGAGGTGAGACATTTTATGGCTAATTAAGTGTAATTTTATTTTCCTGTGTTCTTTTCATCTGAAATCTATTGTATTCACAGGAGAGGGGTATTCAAATTGCTGAAAATTTTGAAACTGACGAGGAAACAAGATATTCTTCTGTTCATCGGAGAGTTGATGACAATGGAATAGATGAGAGTAGTGAGACAGTTGGTGATGGAACTCAAGTGTCGTCAGAATACTCATCGAAGGTAAGTTTGTTCCAATAAATATATTTTCCTTGTCATGCTACCTTCTGTCTAATGATTTAACAACTTCAGATGTTCGATTTTTTTTTTCCTTTTTCTTTCTCTTCTTTTTTCTTTTGCTTTCCATTCTTCTATATTCAGTAGATGAACATGCTTTCCAACCTGTCGGAATTACCTGAAATATTTTATTCCATCTTATATTATTATGAGACAAATCTTATTTTGGCAGAAACAGCAGTATTATAAATTCTAAGAATCCATTCTAGTGTCCTATCTCATCTTTTACTTTTAAGAGAAAAAATTAAAAAAAATAAATCTTGAATCCACTTATTCATTTGTAGTTTTTGAAGTGTTCTGCACGGGACAATGAATCATTAAAATGCTTCTAGCTGATGAATGTAATATTAATTGGCAATAATCTGAGTTTGCACAATTCTCGGTTTCCTTGTGCTTTAGGAATCTTATGTGATCTTTGTGTCGAGATGATGGATCAAGTTTCTTGTTTTTTCCTGATTTATTACAGGATTTTAAAATTTTGAACTGAAGTGACAGTTGTTAATTGTTATTTAGCATCTGAAACGCGTATGGTATTTATTTGCATTGAAAGTGAAGTGGCATTTGTATATCTTTTTGTTCAACATAGGTTGTGGTTATGTTTTGCCTGGACTGTTGTTATTATCCTATTTTAAATTTAGCATACACATTCTTTCACCATTTTCAAATTGCATCCATTGATATCGTTAGTTCTTTTACCGGCCTTTGGCAGATGTTGAACTATGTTTTTTTATTGGTTTCTACATTTTCTGCTGTAGGGATCTTCTTGGACTGCTACGAGCATGGGTGTGCATTCTGCCTCAGAGGATTATGGAAAAAAATCAATAACGGAACAGAGTCTTAAACAAACCTCTGTAACTGAAATGACCAGGTCTTTATTTTTTCATGCTGAATTTTGAAATTTCAGTCAACTCCAACGGGAGCGAGCTTAATGTATAAACTAATACATTGCTTCTTAGTTGCAAATATGTACTGTCGATTGAAAGATTAGGATTGTGCTTATTTTATTCAAACCATACTTTTATTTGAAACTCCAGTGAGCGGCTAATTTGAATGTTTTTTCTGTGCAGGATTTCTGATAACCAATTCTCTGGAACATGTGAAGATACTATGGAAGATAAAGAAGTACCTCTGGTTGGTGTTTGTTTGAAGCTACTAAGCATAGACCTATTTTATAGTTGAAAATATGATGACTAACTACTCCACTCTCAATATTTCCTTTTTTCCCCAGATGCTTGATCAAAATCAATCTTCAAAAGCTGAAGGTGAGAGAATGTCTTGCTGGTGTTTATTTTCTTGTTTCCTGATTTTAGGTGATCCATTTATAAACATGAATTATCGATATGCATTTCTGCCCACTTTTATTCTTTCTCCTTTTGGAAGGGCTTAATCAAGAAGGATGCTTGCAATCCTTTATTTTATTTCATTAGTATTATTTTGTGTGTGTTTGTGTGTGTTCAAGAATTTTTTCCTCATCTTTTATAAATATGCATGTTTTCCTACACATGCTAAGTTTTTCCCTCACTTTTGATGAACCAAAGTAGGATTCATTAAAGCCAACACATTGCTTTGCACATTGTGAGTGTTCTATTACCCCTCCAAGTTGTTAATCTTCATTCTATAGAGGTTATTTTGCACCTATTTTTGAGCCATTCACGCAATCCATTTAGATTTTCTTCTTTAAAGTTTCAGTGTATTGAAAATGTACTTATATTTGAAGTTTTTCTGATTTTTCTAGATTCTGTTCTCTTTGTCATGCCATCAAGTCCTTTGGATGTTTTAAGTCTTACATGCAGTAATCTGTTTCTACAGATTCAAATTCAACTCAGAATTCAAATAAAAAAAGCTTGGGTAAAAGTAAATTATCCCCAAATGCTATAGCATTCTATCCATCACATGATTCAATCAAGAATCAGGAGAAGGTCAGCACTTCTGGTGTATCGCCAGAGGATCCAATACCTCCCACAATACAAGTGAATACTGGCTCTCTTGCCCAACCTAGTAGTTCTGCTGCACCAACTATATCTGATTGTGGAGGTGTAACTTCAACTTCCACTGGCCAAGGATTGTCGGCAAGTTCATCTTCTGGGTCGTTGTCAGCGGAGAAACCGACATTGTATATAAATGCTAAGGTATGATGTGGCTTTTGCACTGCTGTTTCTGTGTTCACAAATGTGACGTATGTATTTCTGTAATTCCTACCAAATTCTCCCTTCAACGTTACTCTATTATTGTCCCTCTTGACCATCTTGCAGGAATTTGAGTTGAATCCGAATGCAATGAGCTTTTTTCCATCTCAGCCTCCTTTGAGGCATTTGCCACCTCCTGGCAATAATCCTCTCTATCATCAACCTAGCATGCCATTCATGCAACATATGCGCAGCATGCCGGTTGGTATGGGGGTGAGTCTTTGTTCACTGTTCAATTATTTTGTCACAAACTATTCTAGCTGATAATTGGAAAATGTGATTTGAAGATTTGAAAGCCTAGCTCTCACCTTCTTGTTCCTCATTGGTTTATCCTGAGTCCAGTATTCTATCTCTCTGTGTCTGTTATCATGGCTTTTTCCTATCGGTGGCTAATCCCATAACTGACATTATCCTTTCTTTTTGGTGGCGGGTGCAGCCTGTTTTATACAACCCTTATGCGCCACCAATGGCGCACTCCTACTATTATCCAAATGGACCTCAGGTTGGTTATAATTGAGTCATACAAGCAACATTCTGACTTGTTTTGTAGTAGATGGAAATTTGACTTAGCTTCGATGCAGTATGGGCAGCAGCAGGTGATGTTCGGGCAGCCTCGGCCATTCATGTATATGCCTCCATATCCCGCGGTATGTCTATTTATTCTTCTGCTGTTCCTTTATTATTGTTGTGGCTGTAATTGGAGTGTCAATGTTACTGAACGCCTATGGCATGGACAGGTTGATAAAATTCATTGTCCCATTTTACATACTAATTTTAACATCAGTTGCAGAAACTTCTTACTAGCGGTAAAGCCCATGTTTATAAACACTTTAGAGTATTCTACACACACCTCTTCAAACCAATGTGCTCTGAATATGCTAGGATTTGAACTTTTCATTCCTTCAATAAGTTCAAACATAGATTGAATAAGAGAAAAATAAGGAAGGGGACGAGAGATAACTTCACTAAAATGGAAAACTGCATTGTGTTTTGAACGTTCTTGGCATTATCAGACGTCTGATACTCTTGCATAATTTATTTTTTATTCTAGAGAATTTGTACAAAGTGAAGAATAATGTAAGGATCGTAGTGAGAATGTAATGGCACGATAGGTTCGTTGATATCATACCTTTGTGATAGTCAATTAGAGAAACAAAACACCTACAATAGAGAAGGTAGAAAACATTTAAGATTATAGGCACATTAAGCAACATTTTTAATACCATATAGTTAATTTCTGCTAAAACTATCATGTGGCGAAAGGAAATTTTATTGTGTGAGGTATGTCACTATCTTCGAGCAGATTTACATTTGGAGAATGCATTTGTTTTACAAATGAAATAGTCGCGGGATGGTATATTGAAAATTGGTTACTGATTGATGTCTTTCTCAATGTTCTAATCCCATTCTTAGCTCCTTCGTACATTTGTTATGCAGGACATGTCATATAAGGGAAGAGGGAATTCTAATTGATTCTTATAAATAGCATCGACAAATCTGCAATAGGCATGGGCGAATAGTATTTTCGGATGCTAATAAATGACTGCAGCTTGGGAATGATGTTTAGGATAGAATGACGCCGAAGTTGAAGAAAATTGACGGAGACACCTACAGAAAATTTGATCCTCCAATTATTTTGATATAAAATATCTATATTTTATTAGATTAGCTATAATCATAGGTTCTTGCCATGAAGTCTGATGATTCTTGAAGATTGAGTCCAGAGTTCTGTTTATGCTTTTTTTTTTTTTGTTCTTTTTGTTTATTTTGTTTTTGACCTCTTGTTTTTGAGATGTGAATAATTTCGAAGCTTTTTAAGTTTATTTTTGTAGATAAGATGCTGCGTGTTCCGCCACCCCACCCCACCCCCTCTTTGGTTTTGGCTTTCTCTCCATTGATCTGCCATGTTTGTGATCTTTTGAAGTGGTTTTCTTTCATTGCATCTTGGCGCCATGAATCACTTTTCTTGCATATGAGGGGTGTTTTTTGTGTTTATAGTACTTCATTCACTACTGAGATATCCTCAAGATATAAGATATATTTTATTTTTTTATAAAAAATATTTAATATAAAATATTAATTTTTATATTATCAATCTAATTTTTTATTTAAAAAAAATATGTTTATCAAATTAAAACATCTAGGTTGTGTTTGTTTAAAGAATTTCAATCAATTTTTATTGTTCTATCAATTTTTTTTCTCAAAAATATCAAATTAAACACTATATTAATATATATTTATATCACATTATATAATTATATTAATTCAAAAATTTTATTGATTAAATTTCAAATTAAAATTCAACCTTCAAACAAACACATCTTAAGTAGACAAAACAGCAAAAATTCTCATATGGTTTTCAGAATGCTAAAAACCTCTTGGATTCTAAAATTTCCAAAATTATATTTGTACTTGTGGTTTTCAAAATTTTGTAGATTAACTATACCTTTATTTATATATTTTTAATTTATTTATCTTCCTTGCTCTTATTTTTCTTTTCTTCTCCCCAACTACACCGTATTCTTTTTCCATCTTCTTCTCCAAATTCTTGTTCACGCCCTAAGCTCTTTTTCTCCAATTCTTCTTCACCCCGACGGCAAATCTTTTTCTTTCTTCTTTATCTCCAATTTTTATCTGAAGAATAAATAATTTGAAAAGAATAAAAAAAGAAAAAAGACGATGAGTAGAAACGGCCACCTCGAGGAGACGGAGCCACACTAGAGTTTTTCTTTTTTCTTTTTCAATTATCTTTCTTTTTTTTTTTGCGTCAATTATTCCTTCTTCCTCAGGCATCCGGTGGCACCAGCTTATTTTCCTTCTTTCTTTTTCCTCCTTGTTCTTTATAGTGGTCGTCAGTTTGAATCCGATTTTTATTTAAACCATAACTAAGAACCGGTGGTTTGGAACTAAATGGGCAAATTTGGATGTGAATTTGATTTGTTAGATTTTTGGGTTTGGTGAAATACAAGAAGAATTGTATTATAAATTTGGTGTGCAGTAACTCAAGCATTCTGATCTCCATTTTCGTCCGATCGATTAATCGTTGTTTTTAGCAGATTTAAAATGAAAAAAAAAAAATAGAAATTAAAAACAAAAATCGTATTTCAAGCTTGTCACATTCAACCGTTGTTAAATCTTAAAGGAGATGATATTTTTTTGCAACATTTTTTAAATCACAATTAGGTTTTTTAGAATTTTAGAATAAGATGTTTTAATTTTTTACTATGAAGTATGAATTTATTTTAGTTTTAAAATATATATTCCTTAGAACTAGTGTGACTTGTCTTGTGTTTACATTATATTAGATCCAAAGCGCATTCAAAAGAATAACAAATGCAGATTCTCACGTTATAAATAAATATATGTTCCTTAAAGTATTTATAATATTTATATTTAATTGTTATTTTTACTTCAAAGTATTAAAATATAAAATAACTTTATTCATTATATCATCATAGGTTTGGCTAAAAATAATAGTGACATCAAAGAGATATTTTAGTGATTCTCGTGTTTGTGTTTCTAAATTTTGGCAGACTTCGAAAGTTTTACGGAATTGAGAGAATATTAATACTCATTTAGTTTATGTTAAATTATTATTGAAATATTAATTTTTTACTATTTTTAATTTCACGTTCAATTTTCAAACTTACATTGTAGTGCGTTACTAGATTGTATTTGAACTGGAAAAAAAAAAAAAAGTTTTGTTTTTCTACTATTAATTTTGTGCGTTTAAATCACTATCAAAATTAAGAAAATATATAATAAATTCCAAAAAAGCAACACTTAAAAGTAATGAAATAATTATCCAATATATAGAAAGGGTATTGGTTTGGACAGCTATTGATTAGTTACAATAAAGTCCAAAGTTTCGAATTTGTTTAAATATGATTTGATAGTTTAAAAACATTGTGTTTTTATATGATACTGCAAGGGTGTGTTTGTTCGAAGGATTTACTTGAATTTTACTATTTACACAATTTTTTTTTAAAAAAATATGAAATCAGACATTTATTTTTTATATTATACTTAAAATCAAATTTACATTTAAAACATCACAACAATACATATTTATATCACATCATGCAATTATTCAAAATCAACTTTTTACTATTCAAATCTCAATCCAAAATCCAAACCCCTAGACAAACACATCCTAAATTAAAAAAAAAAAATTAAATATAATATAAAACTATTACGTGAACACATCCAAATTTAATTTTCAAATTTCAAAATCTACACTTATAACGTTTAAATCAATAATACTCTTGCACCATCAAAATTTTATTATAAATATAAAATTTTAAAAAAATTATTCTCTCCGTTCCATAACAAATTATTCATTTTTTTCATTTTAATCGTCTATCTATTTCAATTTTTTTTTAGTAATTGTACTGTCTAGCTAACATTACAAATACCCTTACAACTTCAATATATTACAAAAATATTACCTTTATATCACGGCATACCAATAAGTTATTTTAGTCATTTCTATTGTGCAAAAAAACAAATGAATACCTGGTTATCGGACGGAGAGAGAATATAATTATTAAATATTTTTTTTCTGTCCGCTTGTATATTTTTTTGTACAATATCTTTCTATTAGTATTATAAAACACTAATTGAAATAATTTTGTAATTTTTTCTTAATTTTGTACTATATTTTTATATTATAATTAATATTAAAAGATTAACACACAAAAATAAATAAAATCCTTAAAGCCAGATCTAATTAAAAATATATTAATAAAAATAATTATTTTGTATAATAAATATAATTTAAATTAAAATTAAAATAATTAATTAATCTAAATAAAATTTAAAAATTTAGAAAGAAAGAAGAAACCCATTAATAAAACGAGTGACGCAGCACAAAACATACGACAGTGATGCGATGATGTGATCCCACCACAATATAACGTCTCGCCCTCTCTCTCTCTACCACAAAAACACAAATTCAATTTATTAATTATTTATTTATTTCCCATAATAAATTATAAAATAAATAAAAACTAGGTCTGCAGAAACTAAAAAAAAATTATTTATTATAAAAATTTATGCAACTTAAAATATTATTATCATTATTATTATTTTATATTTAAAAAATAAAATTGTGGGGTTTGTCGGACACATCATATAACTCTCAAATATAGTTAAACCCCTCAATCCTCATCAGATTCAAATCCGCCCCCAATCCCCAATTCCCAATTCCCAATCCAAGAAGACCAAGAACAATTCCCTGCCCTTGCCCTTCTAAGGGTTTAAATCTCCCCTCCTCTCCCCGCCCCACCAGTTTTGCTCCACCTTTTTCACTCTGTAAAGTCGCCAACTGAGAATGGACGCGGGCTACAATCCTCGCACTGTTGAAGAAGTTTTTAGGGATTTTAAGGGTCGAAGAGCGGGGCTTATCAAAGCCCTCACCGCAGGTTTTGGTTTTGGTTTTTCTTTTCTTTTCTTTTTCTTTTCGGTTTCTGCTTTCTGACCTACTGTTTGTGCCCTTTCCCCGATTTTGGGTCGGGGTTTGTTTGTCGGCGGCTTCGTCTTCTTCCTGGGTTTTGTTCTATCTTCTTGACTAATGCGGGCTTTTTTTCGTTTGCAGATGTCGAAGAATTCTTCCAGCAGTGCGATCCTGGTATATATATTTATATGTATACAAAAAGATTTGTTTAATTTTTCTCGCGCTTAATTTACGATTTTTTCTCTGAGTGCTGCGGTGCCTGTAATTGGGGGAAAATTGATGGCGGTACTTTTCGCGGATACGGTGTAGCGAAATTGTGTGTTTAGGGTTTGATTGAATTCGATTGAGATCTTAGTTTGTGTTTTTAGGGGAGTGTGTTGGGTTTCTGGATGCTGTTCTTTGCGCTCATTGATTTTCCGTATGACTTTGCTATTTTTGCCTGATTTCTTTTAGTTTAATTTCTTTACGAAGAGTTTTGTTTTTGCGTATAGCTTCCAACTGAGGTTTTTATGTGTTGACTATCTATAGTATCTATGGATGTGTTGATTTTAGTTATGGAAAAGGATTGGCAAGATAGCTGTGTTAGGTGTTATTTAACAACAAAATCTTTTGGGGTTCGATCATTGATTGCAGGAAGTGTTCTCTTTTCGTGCTACAAATTTGCAGTTTCTTAGTGGAAAGTGTGTTGAGTATTGGTGCATATTAATTGAGTCAGAATCTGATGAGTTTGGTTTGTTTCATTATTTGGAAATACAAAGTGTGAGGGGAATCGTTTTTTAAGTGTGCAATGAATGGTATGAAAATTCAAATATTTTAAGTTTTCAGGTCAAAGAAGAAATTTTCTGTTACTTCTTAGATCTTGTTGTGTCTGTGTCTAGAGTTCTGTGAAATCGTTTAAACAAGTGGCTAGTTTATATTCTTTAATTTGTTTGTTGGTTGGACATTCATTCAAAGGGATGAAGCAACACATGCTAGGTTGATGTTTTGTATTTTTCGTAGTTTGTTCTGTTCTGTTCAATCTTTTATTGAAACTCTGAATTTTTGGGCGTAGCCAATGAAAATGGTATTTACTGTGGCTTGGTATGAGATCCTGATGACTGATGGTCATGATTTGTCTCATAATGATACCATCATTAGTTGGAAAATCACATTGAATGAATGTAGCTGTGATTGGAATTTTATGTTCTGTTTTCAACTCCAACTATATTCCCTGTTGATATATTTTAAGAAATCTTCCATAGTAGCTTTTTCTGTTGTAGGTATCCTTTTTTGAGATGGTTTCAGATGTAAACACGTTGCATTGCCTAAGTCGTAACAATATATTACTGTTTTAAGAGGTGTTTATTGGCCCTCATGTATTAACTTTAGAGGCAACATGTTTCTCTGTCTAGCACTTTTTGTATGCTTGTGTGATTGCCTGTAGTTTTTAGTTGGTGTTCGCTGACATTCCATCTTGTTACTCAATTGGATTGGAAGAGACAACATTGTACACTTTTTAATTCATCTACTGATTAAAATTAATTGGATTTAACAGAGGTTAAATCATCCAATCTCTCTGATAAATTTGTGTTCCAATCGTCCAGTGTTCTTTAACTTATTCATCATTCTATACTTGTAAGTCAATAGAGTACAGTAGCGCCACTATTGTTCTGCCATGTAATGGAGAAGCTGTTTGCCGCCACCACTGCTCCATCACAGTGATTAATGCACTTGTGGCAATAGCTGCTTGTTGTGGTGGGGCGTGACCGGTCGGACTGAAGCTAACTATAGAACAAAAATGGAGAGTGAAAATGAGGAAGAAATTTGCCTAGTAGATTTTGAATTAGATTAATTTTGATTATTTATTTATCAAATTAGTAGTAATTCAATTGTTTTTATCTATATAACTATCTATCATAGTTTTGACATTTTGTTTTGTTTAGGGTAAGACCTTTTGTATTAGTTAGAATGATAAGTATGAGATTAATTTCTAAAATTTTCATATGCTAAAATTGTGATTTTGTATGTTAATAATTTTTTTACATGTACAGTTCTTTAAGTTTTCAAATAGCTTTTATCTTGCTATCCAGCTATAACATTTTAGGTTAGATCGCTATTCAACCGCTATCCGAGATTGACCAACGTTTGTATTTCATGTAAACTCTGAACCAAGTAAAAACTTACAAATGCATGTACTGCACTGTAACTTCAGCGTAAGCTTCTAACTGTGAGCACAGATTGTCTGAGATTTTTTGTATGCTTCATTTTCATTTGAGACAACTCCTTGTGCCATTTTGTCATTTCCATAAAATCATTTATCAAATTCAACACTTAATTGTATAAATCTATCTTCCATACATTGTTAAATTCCTCATTTGGATTGTATTATCCCATGAAACCGGACTACGGCATTGTCTACTTCTGGCGGGTTAAATTATATATTTGTTTCACTTTGTTTAGCTTAGTACCTTCACGCTCATGCTCATATTGCTTATTTATGCTTGTGATTCAGATAAGGAAAACTTGTGCTTGTATGGATTTCCTAGCGAGCAATGGGAAGTGAATTTGCCGGCTGAGGAAGTCCCTCCTGAACTTCCTGAGCCCGCCCTGGGCATCAACTTTGCTAGAGATGGGATGCAAGAAAAAGACTGGCTATCCCTCGTTGCTGTCCACAGTGATTCCTGGCTGCTTGCTGTCGCCTTCTATTTTGGTGCTCGATTTGGATTTGACAAAGCTGACAGGTTGGTCTACTGCTTTTCCTATTGTGTCAATTCCCTTTACCGACACTATGATGCCAAGTTTCTCTACCAGTTTATGTCGAAAATATACGTTTTTGTTTCTTTTCGAATCAGAAATGACCTTTACATGGCTATGTTAATTTATGCTGCATATCGTTTGCTTCTGGCGTATGGTAACACTTTGCTCACCTTTGCCATTTCTTGTTGCAGGAAGCGTCTGTTCAACATGATCAATGATCTCCCGACTGTTTTTGAAGTTGTGACAGGTGCTGCCAAGAAGCAACAGAAGGAAAAATCTTCGGCCTCAAATCACAGCAGCAACAAATCCAAGTCAAACTCTAAAGCGGTAGGGATGGGTTTGATACCAGTTTATTTTCCTACACTGATTCTCAGATTTTATCAATTTAGGGCCGTGAAAGTTTGATAACATTATTTCCATGTTACTATATGATTTTACGATCAAATTAATCATCAGGGAAAGTCTTCAAAGCCACAGCCAAAAGACGAGGAAGAAGGCTTGGATGAAGAAGAAGACGAGGAGCATGGCGACACCTTATGTGGCGCCTGCGGCGAGAACTATGGAACAGATGAGTTCTGGATATGCTGCGATGTCTGCGAGAAGTGGTTTCATGGAAAGTGTGTGAAGATAACCCCAGCTAGAGCCGAGCATATCAAACAGTACAAATGCCCTACCTGCAGCAACAAGAGAGCCCGCCCATAGCTGCTGCGCTGCGCCGCCATTTCTTTTACCCCCGGAAAGAACTTCCCAGATGTCATCGTCGTCACTGCTTTCCTTAATTAGATCCTTTCTCTCTCGTTTGGTCGTCAAATTTAGTTCTTAACCTGTGAATGTGAATGCGTAATTCCGGTTGCGGTTTCAGTTTCGGTTTCTCCGTTCCTTGGTACAGTATTATGTCCGAGTAAGACACCTCTTATTTCTTATCAACTATATGGTCTTGTCTTAATAGGTCACTTTGTGATGAACTGGTTAAGAAAGCTCTTTCTTTAGCTACATTTATCATTTGGCTATGTTTTTATTACAATTTTTTTCGATTTTACTTGTGTTGATATTGGTTTTGTTATGCTACTGGTTAGAGTTAATCGGCACAATTATAATGGTATACACACCCTACGATGCTTGTTGAAACAATAGGTTGTGTATATCATAGTATGTGTTGTCGATTATATATTATATATAGTGTTGTGTTAGTATGTTAAATGTGATTAGATTAATGATGATATATAATTTATATTTGTCGAGATTAATGTTAATATGTGATGTCTGTATAATAAAATAATTTAAAATGTGATTAAAATATATAATTATATTTTCTAAAACAGGCAAATAAAGTGAAACGAACAAAAATAAATAGAACTTTAGCACAGGTCATTAAGATTATATCAATTGTTCCTACACGACCAAAGACACATACTAATCACTACTGTTTTTTTTTTACCTTTTTTTCTCATTACACCTTCAAGCCCATGTCAAAAATGGATGGACTCTAATAATGTAATAACAAGACAGAAAAACACTTGATGCAAACTACATTTTGGATATTATAAATTCAGTCGATCATATCATCATCTTCTTCTTCACGACTTACTCTTGATTTTCCTCTGCGCTTTCAAGTCTACAACAATCACAGATATGTTGTCTTTGCTTCCTCTCTGAAGCGCGAGGCTCGATAGATACTCCGACGCAGCTTGAGCTGCCGGGTCGACTCCTTGGCCCCTGTCCGGCAACGGGTTCGTGCCGTTCTTCTTATGCCAAAGAAGAATACGTTTTTTCGCCACTTCGCATACTTCCTCGTTTGTCATCGTATCCCACAGCCCATCGCTCGCTAGGACGAGGATGTCGTCCTCTCGGGTTCGGGGCATGAACATTGTCTCCGGTTCGGGTATTATCCATGGCTTCAAGTACCGGTCGCCTGAAAACCAGAAGAAGCATTGAATAATTTTTAAAGAAAAATAAATATTTGATCTGCAAGAAACCAAATGGTTTTGTAATAACATACCAATAGATCTTGACATTCCAAGAACTCCGAAAACACGGTACCCGTTCCATTGTATGACCTTGCCTCCTGACGCCTCTATCCTTGCGTATTCGTCCTCCCGATTTGGCTACCAATTTAATCGCAAAGCAATATAAATATCGATAGTTTTGTCTCAAAGTACCATAAGGAATCCAATGTATGAATATCGGCTTACTTTGTGATCGACCGATAACGGGATTGCTTCTTTACCGCGGTAAAGAACAGCCCTCGAATCTCCACAATTGGCGACGACAATGTGGGATGAAGAAACCACCGCAACCACAGCCGTCGATCCCACGGTTTCCGGCGCAATGGGCTCTTTAGTAGTCTCTCCAGATTTCCCCACGACTTCGTCGTCGATTTTCAAGAAGCAATTAGTGAAGACCTTCTCCCACAAAAGTTGTCGGATATCGATGCTGCTACCGTTCACGATTTCATGTTTGCAATCATTTAGCTCCTCGGATAAGGCCAGATGAAGCCGGTCCCGACAGTAATTCGCAACCTATAAAAAAATTGTGTTAGATTTTGTTCTTGCGAGTAATCAAGAACGACAACGAAAACGACGAACCTGAGATCCACCGTGACCGTCGTAAACACCGAAGAAATGGGAGGTCATGTGGCTTAAACTCTTGCTAATCCCGTCGACTCCGCGGTCGCCAATGAACATCTTGATCGGTATTTTCATGAAATGCGGCGCTGCCGTGACAGCGTCTTCCATCTCCGGCCTATGTCCGCAGAGCGACGTCGAACCCCAGAGCGGCACACAATCCAGCTCGAAGACGCTCTTAACATGGCCTTTGATTGGATCTTTCTCGCTCGGAAGCTGTAAAGCAACTACCGAAGATTTTATAGTCGGACCAGCCGAGCATTCTTCATTTAGCTTAACATAATCATTCGTGACATTATTCAATGCCCTCTTGACAACCGCTCGTTCCTCCACGCTAATGACCTTCGCAAGAATTCGACCATTCTCCGTGCCTTCGATTTCGACAGCAATCGGTAAGCTCATCTCCGGCGCGGCATCTAGAGGCACGCTGATGTCTGAATCAGACAGATCGACACCGGTCGTTATGTTAGAATCTTCCCTGGCCGAGATAATTCCGTCTCCTCCGCGGACATCACGGCCGCTGCCGGAAACATTTTCCGGCAGCATCAAGGATTTGCCATTCCCCATCAACGCCGGATCCGAAAGCAAGGCTGCCGTCCCCGCCACCAGCTTGAGGCGGGTGATCTCGACATGGTTCGAAATTCCGGCATTTTCGCAGACCGGATTGCCCAAGCTAAGGGTAACCACGGCGGCGGTGGCCGCCGGCGGCAGCTCTTCCATCATTCCTCTTTTCTTGATATAATTAATACCTAAAAGGTTTGTCTTGAATCTATTCAAACTATTTATTATATATCAATCTTGATTCTTGAATCCCAATATTTAACCCCCTTTTTAGCAATCAAATCAAATTGTGAAGAACCCTAATTGGTGATTTAGGTTAAAATCAGATCTGGATATCAAATCAGAGCTACGACCTTCAACAAAATATAAAATCAGAGATTTGGCTTCAAACTTTCCCCCAAATACATCAAATAGGGCAAAATCAGAACCCTAAAGTAATTGATCAAAGGGCTTAGTGTAAGAACAAATCAAGAAACCAATCAACCCTAAAGATTCAAAACAAACCCTTTTTGCTAACAACTTCTTGCAATATAGAACACGGATTTCATGGATCTAAGACAACTTTTTTTCTCATCAAGAAACATATGAGATTCTTCATTACCCCACAAACACAAACTTTCTCCAACAAATTTCCACCAAAAACAATCAAGATTCAATCTTTACCAACAAATTCTTCACACACCAAGAAGGGTTCTCACCCAATCATCAAAAACAACCAAATTTTTACAGAGGGCTAAATGAAATAGGACAAGGGTTCTTACCAAGAATTCCAAGAACTCATCAAAACACTCCTAACAATAGAGCCCCTCCATGGATTTATTTTTCTTCCCTTTCTTTTCTTTTCTTTTTTTATTTTATTTTTTTATTTTTTTGAGCTCAAAGAAGAAGGTGAAGAAGAAATGAAAGAAGAAAGAGAAGAACTTGTGTAGAAATGCCTTTACTAATTGCAGCACATATTCATAGGACACGTGTAGATTCAATTATCTAACTCCAATCAATGCTTCTGTACCTACACTGCATCTAACAAATAAAAAATAAAAAATACAAATATAAAAAAACTATAAATATAAAATAAAAATATAATAATAAGATAAATTGTGGCTGCAATAAATAAAAACAAGAAATGGAATCATTCATTCATTCATGGACTTTTGAGGAGGCAGACTTCAAGAAGACCACGTGTCCTTTCTTGATAGGGAAACTTCACAAATTTGTCAAAAATAAAAATAATAATAAAAATAAAAATAAAACAGCCCATCATTCTAAACTCCTTTCATGGCTGCATTCATATTAAGGAGATGATAAATTTTCAATAATTTCACATATTGTGTGTTTGTCCAAAAGTTCACACAATTAGAGCACATAAGTTAATAATATATTTTCTAACCACTCCATCCAAAGTCTCAAGTTATTTTTTGTATTTGAATTTTACTTTAAATAATATATTAACGTAATATTTTATTAAAAAAAATATTATAATTTTATTAAAAATTATAGAAATTGAATATGAAAAAAAAAAAAATCTAAAGCCAATATCTAGCTTTTACTATGTTTTCAATTTTATTTTCAAATAATTCATCAAATTTTTTAGTTTAAATACAATATACTTCATCCATATTTACATCATATTTTTCAATTTTTTTTTTTACTTTTTTTAATGTAATATTAAAATACTTTCAAAATATATTAGAATGCACTAGTATTACGTGTTTGGTTTTGGATTGTTTTTATGATTTGAGTAACAATGGGGTGATATAATATTTTATATAGAAAAAATTAATATATTTGTATTAAAAAAATTATGAATAGAAAATAAAAAAAATCTCAAAAGCAAACACAATTTTGGCTCCCTCTAAATAAAAATTTTAAATATTTGAATTTCTTTTATTATAATAGAAATTTTGATATTAAATATGTTATTGTATAAAAAAAATATTTAATATGAAATATTATTAATAAATAATATCATAAATTTTAAAAACATATTCTTTTGATGGGTTTGAATTTTTTTTATTTGAATTTGTATTAAAAGAATGTATTACGAGATATTTTATGAGAAAATATATACTATCTTCATCCGCCGCCAATTTATCCATATGTATTTGGCGTCATTATTTTTAACATTAAAAATATCCTTATATTTGTATATTTTTTTTTGTAGAAATATCGTTATATTAGTGTTATAAGACACCAATAGAATTATTTTTATTATTTTTTTTAAATTTATATATAATAATTCATATTTAAAAATTAACATGTAAAAATTAAATGAATAGAGTCGCGTTGGACGGAAGTAATATATTTTTTTAAAAAACACAAATTCAAATAGTAAAATTTTCTCAAAGTAAACAAACCCTTATTTTTTAGAGGTCAATTGTGTCATTTTACATTTCTTTTTTTGAAAAAAGTGTAATAAGTTGGGTTGAGTTTGGGAAAGGCAATGATTGATATGTAATGGATTGTTAAATGTTGGGGTTTGTGATTGTGAAGGTAAAATTGTTAGGTGGCTCAATGTGATTGGCTGCTTGCCTTTAACTACAAACTTTGCCTTTGAAAAAATATATATATATTAAAAATAATGTAAAACTTACTTTGGAATAATAATTATTATTATTATTAGGACTAGACCAACTCAACGCTAAATATGATATTGTTTATTTTGGGTTGAATCGCACGGATTTGTTTTTGAATATTTTTCAAAATGCCTCGTACTAGTGGAGTTCACTTTAGACTTATAAAATATGTAATTTTTTTCATAACTTTCAATGTTGACTTAAATTTGCACCCCAATTATTATTATTATTATTATTATTATTATTATTATTATTATGTTCAATATAATGCAATGTGGGGACTATTTGATGTTACTTGTCCCAATAGGAATGTTACAAGAAACCATTTCATTTTATTTTTAGGTTAGGATGCCAAATTATCAACTCTCTATAATTATAGATATGTATAATCAATACTTTAATTAGGTTGAATTTTGTCTATTAATAGTAATTTTAATATGATATTTTATAAATATTCGGGAGCGTTCCATAATTGAAATTGAGTGTTTATTTGAATTTTTATTAAAAAAATATACAAGATATATAATGTTAATTTTGCTATAAAATATTAGAAGAACAAACTCTAAGTAATAAAGGACGGGTCTTTTCACTTTTAATTTGATGTGTATCTTATGTTAGATTTAGAAAAATATTACTCACTCCGTCCCACGTACCGTGTCTGCTACACTGTAGACGCAGTATTTTAGGATGAGTGTAATTAGTAAATAATTAAGAATATATTAGTGAAAATAATTATCCGATAATATAAATAATTATAAATTAAGATTAAGGTAACTAATTACTTTAATTAAAATTTAAAAAAAAATAAAATTAAAAAGTTTAAAATGAGATTAAAGTGTGTAATCATTTTCCAAAAAAGAATAGTGACATAGTATGTAGGACGGATAGAAACGGCAATATGTACATGGTACGTGGGAGGGAGGGACTAGTTAATATAAAAAAAATAATATTTTGAATTGAATTATGAACTTTACAATATTAATCGAAAATTGTAAAATTTTTATCTTTGATTTTCGTTATTGATTCTTTGCATCAAAATTTTCAATATATATAATTCATCATTTTCTTTAATTATAATATTTAATTAATTATTTACTTATAGTCCATCATTTTCAATGGAAAAAATTACTTAATTCAGTTCTAATTAATTAATTTTGCTTAATTGACCAAAATTGGAAACAAAACAAAACATATCAATCCAAAAAAATAGAGCCAAGACATTTCCAAAAGATGAAATTAGAAAGACCATAGATAAACTTTATCCATATAAAAAATTGACTCTATTTATTTTTTTCTTTTAATTTTTACTATGCAACTCTAAGTGATTTTTATTTTATTTTTTAAAAAAATACACTAATTTTCTTATAAACACCACATCATAAAACACAAACATCAAACCAAATTAGAAAATCTTTTTTCCCTTTTTAGTTCAAATATTTGAATTTTTTTATTTAAATACTAATATTTAGTGTAACATTTTGTTATAAGACAATATAATTTTTTTTTTCTAGAAATATGGAAGTCAATAGTAAAACACTTTTTAAGAAGAACAAAAATGAAAAGAAACACACCCTAAAGATATTTAAGTTTTAAACTATTAAAGTTCTTTTCACTTATTACCAATCTTTTTAACAATTAGGTTGTTTATCCTAATTTGATATTTGAAATTTATTGATAATGATTTTAGTATTCACAACACATTGGATAAGTTGAGAATCCAAAATCTTAATTCAAGAATTCAATAAATAATAAAAAAATATATATATTTGAAGTAATACTAGCTATACCTATTAAAAAAAATTAATTATTCCTAATTTAATATTTGCATGATGAAGTAACCCATGCATATATATATATATAAATCAACAAAGTAAAGACTAAAATCATGTTCAACATCATAACCACATTATTCATTTAAATAATTAAGATGATTCAACATATTCGTGATATAACTTCAATACATTTTTCTTTTTTGTATATATAAGATTTATTAGATGTTAACCACACACATATATATATATTGTAATTCAAATATATTTTTGTTATTAAGTATACAAGCATCTCACATATTTATAATGAAATTTCAATATATACACTTATAGTATGATTCAAGAATTTAAACCATGATTATGTTTCATACCATCAAATATATATTTTTTTAAAAAAAAAATGATTCAACATATATAATTTATACAATCAATAATTAGGGTTTATTTGGTTTGTTTCTAATTTTAATTTAAATAATATTTTGATATGAATTTTTTTTTTGGTAAAAAGCATATATATATTTATTAAAATTAATATGAATTGAATGACAAAAAAAAAAAATTGAAAGAAAATACAAACAAACTCTAAATTTAAATATAATCCCTTATTTAATAAACGAAAACAATAGAGCATTGTGCATTTATAACTTTATTTTTTACTATACAATATTCATATTTTTTTATATAAAAAAATTATTATTATTATTTTCACAAAAAATTATTACACCTCTTATAACTATTTCACCCAAAAATCAAAATATAATAAGATATAAAACTAAACACATTTTTACCAATTCAAAGCACACCCACAATAAATTAAATTTTATTTTCTTCAAAACTCAATAATTAAATTGATGATCTCACATGGCCCACATTTCCAACTCCTCCAAGTAAAAAAAAACCAATTTTTAGTACATTGGTTATGAATAAAATACATGTTTGTCAAAACCTAATCCCAAGTGATATATTCAACAAATTTCATTGTTTGCCATTTGTTGTGTCACCAAATTTTTTTTATTTTGATTTATATTTTTAATTATGGATGATGCAATTCATTCTCAAATTCTATTGGCCACAATGATTTTCCAAATCTTTTGATTCCATGCCTTTGGATACCTCTCCTAATTTTTTGGACCATCCATATCTATTATCAACTTAATTTTCTGAAATTGCATTTTCCCTCCCCTTTTACCCCTAAATTGTAATCCTTGCCCCACAAATTGCGGATTGGGCTAATAGACCCCCAAGTTTGACCTTTGGGCAAAAGGTCATTTCACACCATGAAGAGTGATTCAAACTCCAAAGTACATCCATTTTCCTTTTTATTCATGGCCTTTTTTTTTTTTTTTTTTTTTTTTTTTTTTTTTTTAATGACGTGAAACCCGCAGTCGTTATTCGAAAGTAATCTTCGATCAAACTTAATATCCTACAAATTAGGTCCGACAGACAAATCACACTAGGCGAACCATGTGTGACAATCTAATGCGTCGAAGGTTTGAACCCATATCATAAGTCTAACCCCACACTACTAAGTTCGAATTTAATGAAAATTTGAAACCAACAGTATATTAGGACAAATAATAAGAAGAGAAAGTTTAATATGTTAAAAACCTTCATCCATCTGTATATAAGTTGCAGATAACTTTTGTTGCATTAGTTGAAAAAAATATTATAAAAACATTTCTAATATAATTTTCTCTTTAACTAATGTTGTTGGAGCTTCTTGTATACGTAAAAATACGATTGACAAAATATGTAGAAAAATTAGTTTAAGAAATTAAATGTGATTTTAATTTCTTGAGATTGAAAAGAGTTTAAATAAACAATTGAGTTTTAAGAGGTATGGAATATATGTCGGATGTCTCGTTCTAAATCATTATAGAATTGGTTGCTTTGTTCACTTTTATTCTTGAAGTTCTTAAAATTTGTTTGGTATGATACTACATATTTATACATAAACTTAAGTGTGTAGATTATTAGGATATTTGCAAATCATTTGATTTTATCTTTAATGTGCAAATAATATTAGTTATACTTGGTCTTACACATAAATTGTCAAAAACATTGCAACCAAAAGATTAGAGTAAGCAAAAGAATATTGTACGCAATCCAATAAAATAAAAAATTGTACGCAACAAGAAATGATAGATGTGAATTTCTAGTCGGTAAGATCACAACTTTTTGTGACGAACATAAGACTGACTGTATAGATATAAATGATAAATATATTGATCGTCGCTGTCTTTGGCGTAAAAGAAATATTACTAACGATTTTTTCATTATCCCGTGGAGTATTTTAATGACATTAAAGATCAACAAATATTTGAAATTAGCGATTGATTTAATGAGATCAATTGTAAAATGTTGGAAAAATTATAATATCACGAAAATATCAACTAATTATCGAAAAACAAAATTTGATATCAAAATTATTTATCGAAATAAATTTGATAATCTCAATGATTTTATCGCAATAAATTCGATAGTCAATAATAATTTATCGATATAAATTCGATAATCTCAATAATTTTATCGAAATAAATTCGATAATCATCACAATAATTTATCGAAATAAATGCGATAATCACGTCGTGTCGAGGTAGAACCTATTTCCGTAAAAACGAATACTCTCCGGTAGTGCCTCCGGTTCGTAGCGTAACGTTCCGAAAGATAAAACGACGTTCGTCTCTAAATTAAATAGCATCCCAATATTTCAGAGTTTCGGTGAACTAAAATAAGAGGACTTAAGCTATATTGGAAAGCTAGGCAAGAATAGATTCCGGAGCTTGCCGAAAAACTCGTTGGAAATTATGTGGGGTGGAGAGGATTAGAGAGGTAGAACTCCTCTTGGTGTGGTGTATCAATGGGGTGGTGGAGAGGGCCTTTTATAGGCACCTCCATCAAACAAGACAATTAACGCCCGAGTCGAAATCATCGTAACCGACGATAATTAAATTTCGGGAATGTCCGGTCATAAACACAATACTTAATTCCGGTCGTAAACATCAATTTAATTCCGGCCATAAACACCAAATTTAATTTCGGTCATAAATATATTATTAATTATTTATTATATATGCATGTAATTATCTGGTCCGGACAGATGGCACGCGCGCATGTTGCTTACCGGCATTTATATGCCTAACCACATTATCAATAACTAGCTTGAATAATTAATCGATTTTCCAACAATAAGTTTCTTATTTGTGTTGCTAGCTTGAATTCAAGAGATGGTTTTTCGAATTTCAATATAGCAAAATTACGAAGATTGTATCAATTTTATCTGACCGATTTCAGGCTGCTTGAACTTATGATGCTTGAGGGTAAGCTAGTGACATATTATGAATGAATGATAGATTTGGTTAATTGGAGGGTATTGTTGATCTGATAATATTCTCTCCATCCGTTAAATTTATTTTTATTTTTCTTTATAATTCATTTGTAATTTATTATATTATTAATTTTTACAAATTAATACATTAATATTTAATTATTACCATCAATTCAACGCTTATTTACCATAAATATAACTAATTTTATTACATTTAAATTTTCAAAAATACCCTCAACTACCAATAGCTTTTTCAATAAAATATTTATTTATTTTTTTATTTGCATGGAGATTCGAATGAACTAATTTTAATGATGAAAAAAACATATTTTATAATCTCACAAACAAGTAACCTTCAATATAACATATCATTTTTTATATTAGTCACACAACTTTTTATACAAATTCTTTTTCTTTTTAAGAAAAAAGGCCCAAATATAGCAGTGAGAAATGCAAGGATGACCGTACAATTTGGCGCCTCGAAATAGGTCAAGAAAACGGTCAAAATGATCTCAATCACCACAACCGTTGCACCGCTGCCGCCGGAAGGCGGAGAACTGGAGGAGGAGTGGTGGTTTCTGGTGCTTGTGCCGGTGGCGCCGCTCTGCTGCTGCTGCTGCTTCAATAATGGCCAAATACGGAGAAGCCAATGCTATTTCCACCGCGGTGGCCATAGACCGAGAAAAGACCAGCCAGCAGGCCGTCCGATGGGCCGTCGATAATTTGAGGTCCAAGGACAGCGGACTCATCCTCCTGCACATTTGCACCCGCCCCTACTCCGATCCGCGTAGGTACCTCGCTCCTTGTCGGTGATAATCAGTTAGCATAATAGAGTTGGATCGAACATCGCCTTTCAGGCATTTCGCCGTACATGTTGCGTGCACCTGCGTAGAAACCTGCCGCAGATTTGCAGGTTTTGTTTTCTTCAACATATCCAGAAATAAATTGTGCACGTGTGTTTCGTGTTGATGCAGCTGATGGCAATGGCGAGGGAACAAAACATGAAGAGCTGGTGAGGCAAATGTTCCTTCCTTATCGAAGCCTTTGTGCTCGCAAAGGGGTAAATGTCTAATTATCGTCGTTTTCGTTCAAGTCACGTCTCTATAGGATTGCATGTATATCTAATGGAAATTGAAATCAAAATCCACTGTAAAAGTGCTTGATCGTTGTTTGTTCTTTCAAATTTGGTGACAAAATTAATCTTCAATTGTGCAAGGCTATTATAGCATTCTGAATCGATAATGAGTTCATATGAGGATAGTATTTCATTTCTTCGATTCACATGTATATATAATGGACATTGAAATTACCTTCACTGTAAAAGTTCTCGATCTTGCTTGTTCTTTTGAGGCTATTATAACATTCTGAATCATCAATGAGTTCATTTAAGGATAGTTTTTGAGCTCATCAATTTTAGAAACCATTGGTAATCTGCAATCTTTGATTAGTCCTTAACGATTTTATGGCTTCAGATTCGAGCAAAAGAGGTTATCCTCTACGACATTGATATTCCCGGCGCATTGTGTGAGTATATCAACGTCAACTCTATCACTACTTTCGTCCTCGGCACTTCCCAAAGAAATGCCATAGCAAGGTACCAAATACACTGCATCATATACTCTGTTTCTCGGCTTGTTGGTTTGTTTCAACTTCTAAAGAACATTCTTGAATCATCGATTGATTTCAAGCTTGTTGCCAGGGCATTCAAGTCTGCAGATGTTCCGACTTCAGTAGGGAAATCTGCACCCGATTTTTGCTCGGTGTATAGCATCTCTAACAAGGGGAAACCAAATTTGATCAAATCTGCTAATGGATCTGTGGCTTGCCCCATCTCTGGCAGCTCATTTATTTCCGGCCCTCTCTCCTTTGTATCTGCCACCAGTTCGACATCACAGAATTCATTTTCGACAAATTCGTCAGCTTCGTCGTCTAGCCAGAGTCATAGTTGGTGGAGTGCTAATTCTGAGGCATTTTCCATGGATGGAGTTAGCCATTCCAAACAATCACTCAATGGCAAATCGTGGGAAAACAGCAGAGAGTATCCGATACCGAAGCCTTCTGTCCGCGACACAGCTTCATCTTCAAACAACGGCGAAAGTTTGAACATCTTTGCCCGGGAAAAGCGGCCCGGCGCCAAGAATCAAAAACCTGAAACTAGCTATGATTACAGTTCCTTTGGAAGCAGTTACCATTCGTCGGAGAATTCAGGGACTAGAGACAGCGAATTCGGGCGTAAAAAGAAGTCCGCAGCCGGAAGGAACAATGCACTCCAACAGTCTACACGATATCGCAATCTTAGGGGCCGGAATTTGGATGCTTTGGTTTATATGCCATCAGAATTTTGTGATACCTCTGAAGCACAAAGTTTCCAATCCGACGATGTTTCCTACGAATTTCTTGATCAGAGCCATGTTTCTGATTCATCCAGGACCTCTATCTCCTCACAAACAACTGTAAGTTTTACGATACGTTGCAGGACAAAACAACAATCGAAGAAGCTAAACATTCAAAAACATTCGATTTTCGCTGCAGGAGATCGAAGAAGAAGTAAAGAGAATGAAACTGGAGCTGATGCAGATAACCGAGAAGTACAATGCAGCTTCTCAAGAAGAAGTTAGGGAAATCTCGCCGTGCGAATCAGAAGAGGCGAGCATCGATGATTCCAACCGCCCGCAGCTGGTGGCATTAGCCATGGTCGAAAAGGAGAAGCAGAAGTGTAAAGCTGCAATGGAGATGGCGCAGAAGGCGCAGCGTCTAGCCGAGATGGAAGCCGAGAAGCGAAAGCGCGCAGAGTTGAAGTTCAAGCAAGAATCCGAAGAGAAGCAGAAGGTTATTGGCGCAATAGGACGAATCGGACCTCAATACAGACAGTACACATTCGCAGAAATAGAAGCTGCAACCGATAACTTCTCCAGCTCGAAAAAGATCGGCGAAGGCGGCTACGGACCTGTCTACAAAGCCTCTCTAGATCACACCTCTGTCGCGATCAAAGTCCTCAGCTCGAATGCAACAGAAGGCCAAAAACAATTCCAACGCGAGGTTACGAAGCTCCTTACACCGAATAATCATCGGATTACATTATCAATCGAATCAAACTGATCTTTCGACTTTCCACAGGTCTCGGTTTTAAGCCAGATGAGACATCCCAACATCGTTATCCTCCTAGGCGCCTGCAACGAGCGCGGCTGCCTCGTCTACGAGCACATGGAAAACGGAAGCTTAGAAAGCCAGCTCTTCTCGAAGAACCGAGCCACCCCAGCGTTACCATGGCGAGCAAGGTTCCGGATCGCCGCGGAAATCGCGACCGCCCTGAATTTCCTCCACCAGACGAAGCCGCAGCCTCTGGTGCACCGCGATCTCAAGCCCGACAACATCCTCTTGGACAAAAACTACAAGAGCAAGATCAGCGACGTCGGGCTGGCGAGGCTGGTCCCGCCGGCCGTAGTCGACTGCATCACCCAATACCACATGACTGCAGCCGCGGGCACGTTCTGCTACATCGATCCGGAGTACCAACAGACGGGAATGCTGGGGACGAAATCGGACATATACTCCTTGGGCGTAATCTTGCTGCAGATCATCACGGCGAAGCCTCCGATGGGCCTGTCGTACAACGTTGAGCGAGCGATTGAGACGGGGAGGTTCATGGAGATTCTCGATCGGAATGTGCCCGACTGGCCAGTCGATGGCGCGCTGTCGCTGGCGAAGCTGGCTTTACGGTGCTGCGAGCTGAGGAAGAAGGACAGGCCCGACCTCGACTCCGAAATATTGCCGGAGCTGGACCGCCTTCGCAACCTTTGATCGGCGAGAAGGTACGTTAAACATTGTCGATGCTATGAAATGGATATCGAAAGCTTTTTTTTTTATTTTTATCGGCAAGTTTTTTAAGGCTTTGGAAGACTAGGATTCGATCATTGTTCCGTTCTTAGTCTTTTTATTTAGTCGAGCTCGAGCTGATCGACTTGGCGAAGCAAGTCTAGTTCGAGTGATCATGGTGTATTAGCAATGTGGTCCGGTTTGTTGCTTTTGTCTCTAACCTCTACTATTTGGATTATGAAGTTTTCGAAAAATGCATTTTTTTTTTCTCATAAAACATTTTATTATACAATATTTTAATAAACATTTAAATCAAATTTTTCTTAGACTCATCAAAAAAACATCGGTATCCTTTGACTTCTAACAAAAATGATGAACCGGAATGTTTTAGTGATAATGGTGTAAAATGAGCTTGTGATTGTTAAGTTATTCGCCATTTTCAAATCTACCAGCAACACCAAAATATAAATTTTCAATCGAATCTAATACCTTGCAAATTAAGCAAAACAAAATAAATCACACTAAGCGAATTACGTATGGTAAGTGACCGGAGGCGTCGGGGTATGAACCGAAGTTAACCCCGTACCACCAAACCATCCTTGAGGGACTTGTGGATTTATTTTATGTATGTTGAATGGAGTAAATAGCAACACACTTGTAACCATTCCACAATAATGATAGATCTTTTAAAATTATCTAATTAAATCCTCGGCCAAGTCCAATCACACCATGCTGCCTATCCTTTCGGGATAAATTATCTAATTCTTTTGCATTTGAGTACAATAAATAAGGAGTACTATATATATAAAGTGAAACTAACCCTAGAAGCGTGCGGAACAAACTACACTCGAACCGGACCGGTAGGAGTAGCCGCCTCAGGCTTGTAAGCCGGACCGGCTCAGCGCTCATTTTAGACTCTCCCGCTGGAAAAACCTAAGACGAAGCTTCTTCGCTCTCCGCTTTCCTCTTCGTCTCAATATTCGGGTCGTCGTCGAACCCGAACCCAAATCCACATCCGGATATCCGCCATGGCATGCCAACCTCGAGGAGCGGATCAGGGCAGCGCCAGCGAAGAGCGCAACGGAAATCGCCAATTCTACAATCCTTACCAGGAATTGAATCTCCCATCTCGCTCATTATACAAACTCCCCGCCTCTCCGGAGTTTCTATTCCAGGAGGAAGCCGTGGCGCAGCGTCGATCTTGGGGAGAAAACCTGACCTACTACACGGGGATCGGCTATCTGGCCGGAGTGAGTGGCGGCGCCGCCAAGGGTTTTGCGACTGCAGTCAAGTCTATTGAGCCGACCGATACGCTGAAGCTGAAAATAAATCGGATCCTCAACGGGTCGGGTCACGCCGGAAGGCAGATCGGCAACCGGTGCGGCGTGATCGGGCTGATGTACGCCGCCCTGGAGAGCGGTATGGTGGCGGCTAGGGATACGGATGACGTCATCAATAGCGTTGTGGCGGGGCTGGGTACTGGAGCTCTTTACAAGGCGGCGTCGGGGCCGAGGTCCGCCGCCGTGGCGGGGGCGGTCGGAGGAGTGCTTGTGGGGGTTGCCGTCGCCGGAAAACAGGCTTTGAAACGATATGTGCCGATTTGAGTGACATTAAATTTGAATTTGTTTAATTTAGTTTCTTATTCGGCTGTTTTGCTGATCTATGAATCTTATGAATGGATGAATGTGTCATTGGAGGTTCAGTTTTGATTATTGCTTAGTTTGCTGTAGAACAGAAATAGAATTAAGTTTGTAGCAAATTAGGTCTGTGATGTTTCATACTTCCATTGGCTTTTTAGTATATATATATATATATATAATGATTAAGATCTTGAACTAGTCCATTAAAAGTCCGATGATTTTGTGTTTGTTTAAGGCGCCGCTGGCTTATTTATCGTATAAAGATCAATTCAGATTTTGATCCCTGTTTATTTCCTTGAAGAAATGTGTTTGTGGGCTTGTTTTGCTTTGTGTTATTGCAATTATCTGTAGGTTGCATCTTGCCTGGACTTTACGGCGCCATACTTATTGTATAAAAATCAATTCAGGTAACTATTTGAATTAAGGTCTTTGTTTATTCCCTCGAAGAAATGTGTTTTGTGGGTTGTTTTACTTTATGCGTTGATGCAATTAGCATATGATTTTGCCTAGATTTAACGGCGCCTGCTTAGTTATTGTATAAAAAACAATTCAGGCAACTATTTGATTTTGATCTCTGTTTATTCCCTCAAAGAAATGTGTTTTGCGGGTTGTTTTACTTTATGTGTTGATGCAATTAGCATATGTTTTTGCCTAGATTTTACGGTGCCTGCTTAGTTATTGTATAAAAATTAATTCAGGTAACTATTTGATCTTGATCCTTGTTTATTCCCTCGAAGAAATGTGTTTGTGGGCTTGTTTTGCTTTGTATGTTATTGCAATTTTCTATAGGTTGTGTTTTGTGTTGATTTTACAGCGGCTGCTTACTTATTGTATAAAGATCGATTCAGGTAACTATTCGATCTTGATCCCCGTTCATTCCCTTGTAGAAGTGTGTTCTTGGGCTTGTTTTGCTTTGCTTTATGTGTTACTGCAATTATCTATAGGTTGCATTTGCCTTGATTTTAGGGCGCCATGCTCACTTATTGTATAAAGATCAATTCAGGTAGCTCTTTGATTTTGATCCCTCTTTTTTTTACCTTGAAGAAATGTGTTCATGGGCTTGTTTTGCTATATGTGTTATTGTTTATCTATAGGCTTGTTGCGTTGCCTGCTGACTTATTATATAAAGCTCATCAATTATTGTAACTAATTGATCTTGATCATAGTTGTCAATAGGGCTATGGCGCGGCAATAGCGGCGTAGCATAGCGGAGAGGCACTCTGCCGCTCCGCAATGCTGTGCTTATGCAATAGCGGCCTATAGTAGCACTCCGCTAAATAAAATCGCTATTGTAGCTCGTTGACTTATTTTTTACATGTAAATAATTGAGATATAATTTTAATTTATAAAAAAATATTTTGTTTTTATTCTAATATAGACGAAAAAAAACTTAACATTTATCTTAAAATTTAAAATTCATTCTAACAAATTAGATCGTTATGAACGATATTTATGAGTCGTTTATTAAAGAAGTTGATAATTATGGAGAATGAGTTTGGTACTTTTAGCTCTAAAAGAAAAAATGATATTATGTAAAGTGACGAACATACAGTAGAATGAAGAAGATGATGAAGACTTCTTGAATCTGATTAGTTTTTATATATATTGTTTTTGCTTATATAACTATCTAACAATTATGATCATATGCATATTGACATTTTATTAGTTTGAGGTTTTTGTTGTAATTTTGTATATATAATAATTTATATATATATATTCTTGAATATTTAAATAGCGGCCATACAGTTATCCACTATCCAACTATAAGTGATTGACAACTATGATCGTGATCTCTCCGTATTTGCTTGAAGAATGTCGATTTTTATGCTTGTTCATGCGCGTGCTATACTCTTATCTAATTATTGCATTTATGTATTGGTTGCATTGCGTTGCCTGCCCACTTATTACATAAAGATCATCGATTCCTTAAACTAGTAATGTCGATCCCCTTTATTCCCATGAAGAGTGATGATTTGTGTGTGTTGTTTTACTCAATATGCACCGTTATCTGCTTGATATTTGTCGTCTCATTTCTTTTCTCTTCATTTTTCTGCATATCTTGCAAGTTGATTCTTGCAAGATGTATAAATAGTGATAAATATTTCTTGCTTCGAGTCGTACGTACTATGGGTGTTGTAGAGGCTAAAGTTTTGTTTGTTAAAGGGAAAGGTGTTGTTGTAGAGGCCAAAGTTTTGTTTGTTAAAGGGAAAGGTGTTGGTCCTAAATTCACTCAAAATCAAACATAAGCAATACCTCAACACCAAGAACAAACTTAAACTTTGAACGGGTTGTTTGTTGGACGATCAGATTGGAGTGTACACAGATGACAACAAGAATAGAAAATACAGAACAATTGATAACCAAATTTGGTCATCAACGACCTACATCTGGGAGAGATTTCAACTAAAGCCTAATTCAATTGATCAAGAATCAGATTGAGCTTATAGAATAGTATTATGATATTCGACCATAAGAAATTTCGTTTTTTTCTGACAAAAAATTTCTTAGTCTCTAATCTCACCATCGTTCATCCTCATAATTTTATTTTTTTCTCACGAATGATTTCTTAATCTCTAATCCAACCACCGCTCACCACCGTCACCTAAGAGACCGGTGCTATCACCATATTCAATTCTTCATCCTACCTAATAATAACATTATGATTTTTCTATTAACTTTATCTCATTCTTTTTTTTAAATTTATGTATGTAGGAGCTCTTCAACCGTTTTATCTTATTCTTTTCTTTAAATTTATATACGCAGGAGCTCCCCAACCACTTTATCTCATTCTTTTCTTTAAATTTACTTACGCAGGAGCTCCCCAACCGTTTTATCTCATTCTTTTCTTTAAATTTATGTACGCAGGAGTTCCCCAACTGTCTTATTTGCTGCTCTGTTGTATTTATTCATCTTCTTCTTTTTTCCATTTGTTTTTCCCTTCTCTCATTTCTAGACCTAACAAACTTTTGGTTGCATCATCCACATTGAATCAAATTTGTTACAACCGAATATTGTTATTCCACCGCATGGGGACCAGCTGCTCAGTAACTCTCGATCCATTCTGTCTAAGTCTTCATTTGATTTGATTGATAAATTTTGAGTCATCTGCGCGTCTGTCTATTAAAGTCTGTTCGTTGATCGGACCATCTGCAAATATCAACCAAAACCAAGTACAAACTACGATTCATTTTTCAACAAAAGCTATGTAGCATTGGATCACATTTTGGTTCGATTAGAAATTAAAATATGTGACCATGTTGCTTTATTATTTGTAGCGGAAGTGCTTGCTAGAGGCTTTAAACGAATCACGTAATCGCGAGCAAAGTTTGATCAAATTTGTTACCAGCTCGATTCGACTTGTTTATAAAGATAAATCAGTCGAGTTCGAGCTTGGTTCATAAACGATAGTTTGATTGAACTTGTTAATAACTGCATATTTGTGTTATTTTATATATTATTATAATAAATATTTTCCTATCACACTTTATATTTCTTTTGTCCATCAAATATATGTATAATTTTTTGTATCCATAAAAAATATACTCTTTATTTATAATATTTTTACTATTTTTTAATTTATACTCTTAAATATTTACTTACATATATATCATCAATTTTTACACACTCAATTTATATAAAATTTTATCTATATTATATTCATTAAAACATGTCTTCAACTCATGAACATATTTTTTTTAAGACAAAGAGTATTTATTTATGAAATTTGAATATTTTATTATAATAATTTGTGAATAAAATTATGTATATTCAATTTATATATTAAAATATCTCTAATATGTGTAAAATTGGAGCTGAAGTTCGAACTAATAACTTGAGCTTGAGTATTATTTTAACTCAAATTTTAAATAAGCTGAATTAAATATGTACTTATAATGTCCTACATCTCGATAGAGAAGTAAAATATATAAACTACAATGTTCTAAATTAAATTAAATCAAATTATTTTATAGTAATAAGTAGTGAAAAAATAATTTTAAACACAAACAAAAATACATGCCTAAAAGTTGCCATTGAAACTATCGCTTCAAAATATTTTCCCAAATTTATCAATGCCAATAATAGCCTTAATAGGGATGGATGTATATTAGACAAAGGACAAAAAAATTTAGGTCAGCAGTCTGACACATGACACGTGTCACTCAACTGCTTACACACTACACGAAAACTTAAAAAAAAAATAATACTAAAAAATAAAATAAAAAAATAAGGGTTTAATCCATGGTATAAAAGGGGGATGGGCCATGGCCATAGGGGTCGAGTGAGAGTCGCGGGAGGCAGCAGAGAGAGAGAGAGTACGGACATTTACGCTTACTCTGTCACTCCTCGCGGAAATCGCCCGAATTTCTGGCGGTGGAGATTTCCGTCGTCACGTTGCTGAAAATGGGGAATCAGAAGCTCAAGTGGACGGTGGAGGAGGAGGAAGCGCTGAAGGCCGGCGTGGCCAAGCACGGCGCCGGAAAATGGAAGACTATCATCATGGATTCCGAATTCGCCGAGAAGCTTGCCGGCCGATCCAACGTTGATCTCAAGGTTTCGTGCTTTCATGTTTCTTCGATTTTGTTTGGCTTTTTTACTTGTTTGGATGGGTGATAGCTTCGTAGATGGAAATTTAAGTGCGTTTTTTAACACTGAACTTGCTGTGATGCTTTTTTGTATGGCTTTGGAATTGAGCGGTGTTATTGTTTAGCCTGCGTTAATGTATATGCTCTGGATTACGTATTTTGTTGTTTTGTTTTGAGTTGTAGCTTTGCTTCCATGATTTGTGTGAACTTTAGAATGTGTTGTCTAGTTTAAACCATAGGATTATGAGCTGGTTGTTCGAGCATTCGTTTCTCATTTGATTTGTTGCTGTTGTTTTTGAATTTGTGAGTTTAGGAAAACTTGTCTGATCTATTGTTATGTGATCCGGGGAATTAAGGACGCGTTTACTTCTGTATTGGATTGTTTCGAGTGTTTTGAGTTGGTTTGGATTTAAATTTCTTATTGATGAAACTTAGATATGGATTTCATGTTTTGAGTAGTTATTAAGTGTCCGGTGTGATGTTTTTGGATGCAAAAAATAAGTTTAACTGCTGTAGATTGCTTTGGGAAAGTGCATAACAAAGAGCATGATTGAGTAGTATTCGAAAAGGTGTTCGGTTTGTCATCATTTGCTTCAAATGCACGTTCGGTATGGCTGAGGAAAGAGCTACGGACAAGCTGATCAGATTTTGTTTGAGAGCGACAATTTAATGCAATTTTTCATGCCGTTGGCCGTTTTTCTTGTTCTATATCGACAAAACTTTACGTCATTAGAACATTACTTATCTGATTTTGTTTGAGAGCGACAATTTAATGCAATTTTTCATGCCGTTGGCCGTTTTTCTTGTTCTATATCGACAAAAGTTTACGTCATTAGAACATTACTTATCTGATTTTGTTTGAGAGCAACAATTTAATGCAATTTTTCACGCCGTTGCGCATTTGTCGTGTTCTATATCGACAAAAGGTTACGTCATTAGAACATTACTTATCTTGATCCATATCGACAAAAGGTTACGTGATTAGAACATTCCTTTAAAGTACTTTGGCTCACTGTTGAGTTGTTGTTGCTTTAAATGCATTTGTTTTTAGCTAATCGAAAGTATTTTCCATTAATAAGAGAGAAATTGAGGTGCGTAATCTATTTAGGCAATTGTCCCCCACATGGTGTCTCTATTTAGTGGATACAATCAGGTTTTCTGATGGATGTTCTATCCAGAAAGTGTAACTTTTCTAGATGAACCGTATCTTCATCCATAAACTCTGCTTCACAAGAAGATAGAGCCACATTGCGATACACTTGTTGCTTTACATTTTCATTAGTTGTTTCATGTTTCTGCTAATCAGGATAAATGGCGGAACATGTGTGCTAACCAAGGGCAGGGGGATAGTGCTGCGACCCCTAAAAGCGATAGCGACAGCAAGGCTTCTGAAAGCCCGCAAGATGATCAAGATATCCCTGAGTATGTGTTGCCTTATTTGACTTCAATCACTTTACATTCTACTATTAAAATTCCGTATTTTCTTCGATCAAGAATACTATTAAGTCGCCACGGCACGTATATACTTTTGGCACTTGTCTGGATACAGTTCATACTTCTCAATCATATCTGAAGATTCTGTAGAATTCAGTGTTTCCCATTGAAGTTTTTATCTTTTTCCGAAAACATATGAACCCCTTCTATTAGCCGGACACTCGGATCTAACATTTCAACTGTAGTGAAATGATTCTTGAAGCAGTTTCGTCAATCCAGGGCAGCAATGGAGCCACTTATGGTGAAATCGCAAGCTTTATTGAGGTCAGATTCTCTATTTTAGCATATTTACTTTCTACTTTAGCTCAAATAGAAATCTAAAATTCGAAATCACACTGCTATTCGATTCTAATGATGGTATGTCTGTCGAAAATGGATATTCGTTGACTAGGAAGCAATATAGGATCGATTTATAAATTTACTTTCGAGCTAAATATACTAATGCTAAAAGGTGTTTTGTCGACAGCAAAAACAAGAGTTAACCCCAGACCTTCGAAGGACACTGGGCTCAAAGCTGAGGAAACTTATTTCTGAAAATGCACTTGAGAAGGTAATACAAATTCATTATTCCCGATGACTTCACATCAATATACTAACACACGTAAATTGTTCTTGTGACGTCAAACAGGGGCAGAACCGCTACAAGATTAAAAATGCTGCAACTGATACCAACGCACCTGCGCAAGAAAACCCGAATGCTGAACCAAGTCCACCACAAGCGCGCGAGCATATCATCACTACTACAGATGCTAAAGAAGCAGCTGAAATAGCAGCTCAGAGAGTTGCCGAGGCAGAGAACAAAACTTATCTGGCAGCTGAAGCGATGTTGGAGGCCGAAAGAATCTCTCAAATGGCCGAAGAAGCGCATGAGCAGCTTATGCAGTTGGAGGAGATCATAGAGCAGTGTAAGCCTCTTTTTTCTTTTATTTCTTCGATTTTTCTTATCGAGCTACGTCTGATAGTCGCGGCAAGAATACGATTTCATTTTTTTTTTGTTTTTCGACGCAGTTATGCCGGGGTTAACGGGTGGAAACAGAAACAGAGACTGAAGGTCGGATCATAACATATGATGTTATGTCTAAGGAGTGATTGAGATTAAGCAGTGATTGAGTAAGTTGTTTGTCATTGAACTGCTCCATTTTCATTTCAATCTTGAATTAGAATTTGAATTGCTGAATTTGTACATAAGATTGGATTGCTATGTTGTTCTGGTGCTTGTTGGAGACCAATTATCTTGCTTTAATTTGTGTCTCTGTTTTTATTTTGGTGCTATTTAGTCTAAAGGGGAATGTCTTTCTTTTTTATTATTATTTTTTGTGTTTACAAAATATTTTATCAATCATTATTTTAATATCTAATTGAAATCATTTTTTTTTTTTTTTTCAAACCATCAATAGAAACACCCCTAGACTACTTGTTTTCACCGAAAAGTTTCGTGACCTGAAAATATCAAAACATGTGAGTGCCTCTCGAAGCTTGAGTTTAATACTTTTTGGTTTTGCATTTTATTTGTGAACGGTGATTTTGAATGTGACAGTTTTTGGATTTAGATTTTCTGTCAGTTACTATATCCCAATTCAAGTTTATTTATTTATTTATTTTTAGTAATTATACAATTTCATATGATTTCACTAATCAATAACATACTAATATTATTATCTGTATATTTGGCTCTACAAGGGAGTACATTTTTTCTATTCACAAAATATACAGTCCAATTATATGGTAACTATTTTAAAAATATAACATTTGTTTATACAAATATTTTTATTTTATTATCGTATTATTATTTTTATATAAAAAGTTAAAGATAAATTATTTTTACATCACTTTTAATTATTTATTATAATTAAAATACTATTAATTTCTTAAATTATATGCTAAAAGTAAACATATTTTTTGTTGGACAGATAATATGTAAAAACTCAATATTTAATATGATATTTTACACCAATAGCTGATACGAGAGCACATTAAAAAATTGAATTCGTAAGTAAAAAGTTGAGATATTTTTGAAATTTTGAAATAGTAAAATATCAATATTTAATATGATATTTTCAAAATTTCGAAAAATGTAAGAATTTTCTATCTAAATTGTGCTAAGTCACTCTTGCCAAACTCTTGCAAATGGCATGAACAAACTAGGACAAAGAAATGGGATAAAGGTGAAAAAATATAAAAAAAACACACAAGAAATTGAAGCTCAAAGCCACACCTCTTTGATTTATCTCTTCAAAATCTTTCAAAACTAAAAACGCAAGAATCCAATTTCCATCTCTCTCTCCCTCCATAGATTCAACGGAAATTTAACCAAAATAGATTTGAATAACGAGGTTGCAGTTCCCGCATCATTAAAGAAAAAAAAAAAAAAAAAAATCTAAGCCAAAGCTGCAAGAAAATTTTTATGAAGTACTAGATGATATAAATGACCACTCTCACCTAAAAACTTAAAACTTAGGAGAATATATCATTTGTTTATTTATCTACAAACGGGAGTTAATATCAACACCTCTCCTCACGTGCAAGAGGGATAAACGCCACTAAACGAAATTTGCACGTAGACAAGGACAAATAGGAGGACGGTAGAATTCGAACTCCAAACCTAAGGCTCTGATACTATGGTAGATGAGTTGGTTGTTTACATCGTCAAACAAAAGGCTAGGCAAAACCAGCAAAACATGAAAAGAGAAAATACACAAACTTTAAAGCTACAATGGCGAACGCTCATTATAGAACTCCATTTGACAATTTTTTTTTTACTGTAAAAACACACTTCAATAGACAGGTCATCCTATAGACGGGGCGGGCATGCGAGTCGAGTAGGGTCGAGTCGCGTAAAAAAGAATGAGAGCAGTACAACATAAAACATAAGTAAGCTAGATGAGGAAGAGGAGGAGATCTAACAAAACTCATTAACTCTTAAAACACAGAATCAATCGTACCTTTCTCATCTTTGCTTTTCACCGATCTCTTCGTTATTAAATGTTCCGACTGTCATCACTATATCCTGAATCCACGTCGATTAAGTAAGCCGTGGGGAAGACTACGTATACGTATACATACACGTACTCTCCACAGTTGTTCTGATATTTACACTGGGAATGCGCTTAGAAACATTTTTTGTCGTCTAATGCTGCACCTTCTCATCCTTCAAGTTCATGGCCTCGATACCCTTGAGGGTAGAGTCGTAGTTTTTTAGGTTCGAAGTCGGGGTTCTGGTAGAACCTGCGCGCTTCGGGTCTAATGGTAGTGGTGGATTTGAATTTCTCTGGAGTGTGTCTGTATCGTTCCCGGAGATCTCCAGGTCTCGGCTTATAGTGATGCCAGGTCGCCTTGCTGACCCGAATTTCCGGAAAAGGCTGGAACCGGAGAGCTGCACAGCGACATTAAAATGCAATAAGCAATAAATCGGGTCTGTTACTTATGAGTTTCCATCTAATTTTTTGTTACCATTTAGACTCTCCGCTCCCCTCAAAATTAAATATAAATATATTTTTCTCATAAAATATCACATCAAATATTATTTTAATAAAGAACACAAACCTCCAAACTCGATCCAGACTTAAAAAAGAATAAAAAACATGTTTTGAGTAAGAGGGTTGAGTTAATCTTACTTCTTTGGTCACAGAAGCATCTGCAGCAGGACCTTTCTGAGACGAGTTTCCGGAATTCAAAGGATTCCTTGTTCGAGCGCCCTTGCCATCCTCGCCGCCTGTGTAACAGAAATTTATAAATTTCGACAGAATAGCATGTTAATGAATGTGCCGTCACTGGAAAATGAGGATACCTGATTGCTTGTCATTGTTAGCATGTTGCATTCCGCTACTTGTCCCTGCAGCAATTGCCTGTCGAGGAAATTCATCACTTCTGATATTTTTGGCAAAACCGTGAAACCTAAAAAAAAATTGCATGTTACTCACAAGGGCGCGGGATGGAGGATTGGCAAGCTGCGACTGCTGATATTTCAAGATAGTCCAGTCAAATACATAGTCGAATTGAAAGCCTGTTAGGGTCAAAACAACAAAGATATAAGCACGAAATGATGCGATATAGCAGAAAGGATAGTGACACTATGATAGCTGTAGAAACCTTCGCGAATAAACAGGTCACGGAAAATTCTCTTAAGATAAGCATAATCCGGTTTATCTTCAAATCTAAGTGAACGGCAGTAGTGAAAGTACGAAGCAAATTCAGTGGGATAACCACGGCACAGCGCCTAGAGAAAGATTGGATTTTAAGGTCAGTATTTTACCACAGAAAATAACATAATGTGAATGCAGGGTAACTTTTTCGATTACCTCTATGGAGGTAGAAACTTTTTTTTCACTAATTTTCTCGTACTTCTGTTTCTTGTTTCCAGCTTTCAATCCCTGCCAAGGAAGGCTGCGCATTTTGGGGAGATGAGTAGACGTAGAGAAAATTAAAGTAACGAAAAGCAATAAAGCGAATCCGCGTACACACCTTCCTCTTAAAAAGTACATGAGAACATATCCAAGTGATTCTAGATCATCCCTACGGCTTTGTTCTATGCATTGATCGATGCAGTAGAGCATAATCGAACACAGAGTAAATGCCTAATTAGATATATTTGAAGGATAAAAGAATCAGGAAAGGCCGTATGCATACCAATGCCGAGATGAGTATTCATGCTCGCGTATCTAGCTGTTCCAGTCAAATTCTTATTCTCTCTGCATTATAAAGGATAATGTTGTCGTCATTCGAATCAATTTTCCGTGAAAACAAACAACACAACAAAACAGATAAGACAGTTGGAAAGGAAACAGAAGAACTGCCTATTACTACTTGAAATTAATGTTTTCGTTTTTTTTTTTTACCTATATGGAATATGTTGATGAGTTGAGGAGTCTCGATATTTTTTGGCAAGTCCAAAATCAATGGCGTAAACCTATGAACATCGGAGGGATTATGAACACAAAATATCATCATTTTGAATTAAACAAACCAATGTGGAAAACATTGAACAAAAGGGCTACCTGATTTGCACGCCTTCCTAAGCCCATGAGAAAGTTGTCGGGCTTAATATCTCGATGGAGGAAAGATTTGGAGTGGATATACTCAACACGATTAATCTAGAAACAAAATTTCACCAGTTTAAAAAAATTTGCTCTATCATCTTTACGATGCATAAACAAACTAAATACCATACCATTTGATCAGCGAGCATGAGAACAGTCTTTAGAGACATCTTGCGACTACAAAAGTTAAACAAGTCTTCTAGACTAGGTCCCAATAAATCCAAAACAAGAACATTGTAGTCTCCCTCGACCCCGAACCACTTGACATTAGGAATTCCAGCTACCAATTTCGTAAATTACCACCCAATGAGAAACTACTAACACGAATTAAAACTATAATGGCCGAAAAGCAAAATTCACAGTGAAAAGAAAGTGTATTACTTCCTCCGTGAAGTAATTTGTACAGCTTAGACTCATACAGTAGCTGCGGATGCTTCGTCTTCACATTTTCCTACACAAATCGAAACACAAGTGAGCTATAAGACATACTACAAAAGATATACACAAATTTGCGACGAAATTATAGGGTAAGTAAATGAGCTTTCGAGATTACACTTTCCTTTTCAGTATTACCAATTTACTACAACATTCAGGCAGTGCAAAGACACTCGATACTCTCGACTACTAACACCGATGATAACATTCAGAAGCTAGACAGGCATTCATGTTCCTTTTTCTTAAAATCAGCTAATAATGGTGTTGAGAAAATTTCAATATGAAGAGGTGAGGATCGATGGAGGATACAGAACACTCACATCCAAACAACACGCACAATTATAATCCATTCAGCAACAATCAATCAGATCATAACTGATACAGAAAACTCATTGATCTTCAAAATCCAAAACGAATCATACGAGCATAATCATAACAGAAACAACAAAAGTAAGATCACCGAGAAAAGCTTTCAATCCACTTACGAGCTTAATAGCAACCTCCTCATTCGTCTGAGTATTCGTACCTGCAAACATCCAAAAAACAAAATTACGAATCACGTAGCCCTAATTTTCTCATCAAATCGGAAAATCTCAAACCAGATATGGAAATAAATACCTAAATAGATCTCTCCAAACGAGCCGCTCCCAATTTTCCGGCCAAGGCGGAACTTATTCCCCACGCGAGGCTCCATCCAGTTTCCGCAGAAATTAAAACCCCAGATTTCCCCAAATCAAATCAAGCCGAAGATTGCAGAATTGTCTGGGAAGAAACTAAGGAGGGGGATTCGACATTTCATAGAAGTCAGGAAGAATTCATCCGCGCCTGCTTGCGCTTCGATCCGATCGATGGGTTAGCAGATTTTGTTTGGTTGCATCTACACCTTATAGCTTAGGAGGGGAGAGGAAGGACCAATCATGGCTACCATTATTCATCCCCAATTCACACCTCACCACACCACCATTAATACGTGTATATATATATATATACAACACCATAGTTTGATCGATGCTGTCTTCTTTCCCTTTCTTCTTTTTTGTTTTTTATTTTTTAATATAATTGAATCTGTACTACGTTCCCTGTTTTCGGTTTTGACGTTATTAATTATTATTTTATACTCTGTTTCATATAATTTATTTTTTAAATATAATTATACAATTTTTAATTTTATTTTAAATTTTAAATTTTTTAAATTTTTATAAAATTATTTAGTTATTTTAATTTTAATTTATAATTATTTTATTATATTACACACTTTAATCTTATTTTAAATTTTTTTTTTATTTTTTTTTAATTTTAATTAAATTAATTAGTTATTTTAATTTTAATTTATAATTATTTTTACTAATATATTTATAATTATCTACTAATTACATCCCTACTAAAATGTCTACAGTATAGCAGATACGATATATAAAACGAAAGAATAATTATTTTTACTAATATATTTTTTAATTATTTACTAATTACATTCTATTTATGAATAGGAGGGAGTATATAATACGATGCCGTTTCACACCACTCCCCCGTTCCGTCCACCTGTTGTTCCAATAATAGCCTGCTCCGACATGGAGTGGCCCACCATTTGTTTGTCTAAATTAGGAAATTAATAAGAAATTATTATTATTATTATTATTATTATTATTATTATTATTATTATTATTAAAGTTAGATCATAGAGAAATAGAGACGATGTATTGAATCAGATTTTAAGATTTCGTAATATCGATAATAGAAGCATGTGTTATCTTTATGGTTGGATATTTCGAAGAAAATACTGTCGGCTGAGAATACCATTCATTTATATTGATTCATTTATTTAACAAAAATATTAAATAAGGAAAATGACTTGTTAGTGTGTATTTTTCGAAACTCCAACAACTTTTAAAACTTATATTTAAATGGGACCTTTTTATATAAGTGTATGTGTCTATATATAATTTGGGTTTTTTTTTTTCAAGGAGTTCGGAAAAATTTGAATTTGATTTTGATTTTTATTTGAATTTTGGAATGAATTTGAATTTTGTTTTTGTTTTTTTTTTTTTTTTTTTTTTTTGTATTTGACTTTGATTGGGGTTTTGAGAATTTTAGATGTATATTGATTTGATGGATAATGAATAAAATAATATAAATATGTATTAAATTTAATTGATAAAATTTATATTGTATGATTTAATTATGAATTTATATTATACTCAATATATATATTTAAAATTTTATTTATTTGTATTATAAAAATTTTTGTTCTCTATAAAATTGACATATATATTGTATATATTTTCTTCCCTTATAATTATAATATGTTTCTTTATCCAAATTTTCTCAAATTTTACTATTTAGACTATATATTTCCCGAAAAAAAAAGAAACAACATTTTCAGACTTTGTCCCCCAAAACACAAACAGACCAGATTTAGGTTGTTTGCATAGTAAAGACGCCCAAACCTGAGCTAAAGAAATAAGCCCTTAACATAAATGAGTGTCAGCATATATATACCAACAACATAAAATGTATAATAAAGGTATGTGCTACTTTTTAATAATAACAAATATATTATATATAAATATGTCATGTGCTAAAATCGTGTATGCTGTATGAAATTATAACATGCGTTTGTATGTAGTAATATTGTGTAATATTGAGACTATAACATATGTGTTTAATTCATGCGTTGTATTATTAATATATACATTGTGATATTTGTAGTAATATTATGTGTTGTCTAATAATACACTATGTGTTGTTCAGCAGCACTGTAGACGTTGCGACAGCCAACTTCATCATCAATTGTCTAATTTCAATCATCAACAAAATCAAGGGTTGTGTGTTTGCCAAAAGAGTCAGTTCAGTTCCAAAATTAATTTACAAAAGCAATCCTAAAAAATTATTCCAAAAGTAAACAAGCAAAGAAAATAAATAAATAAATAAACAAACTACAATTATAGTAGTATGAATTTCAAAATTTGAAACCAAGCAAATCTGTGGCGAACAAAATGCTCTTCTGAGACTCAAAAATCACAATTTCTTATTCAAATGAATTGCATAAGCTTATTGCAAAAAAATATAAAACAAAACCAAACAGAATTTAACAACAAAAGAATGACCTTTCTTCTCTTTAGATAAGCTACAAATCTGCCTGTCCGATGATTGAATTGTAATGCTGCAGAAATTACGTGTAAGAAGATGTAGTTCGAGACGACTGCGGGTGCCTATCACTCATCTCAGAAGTGATCGAGTCAAATGTTCGCGAGCTGTGGCGAGCGCATGAGATATTGACTGCAACGATCCGTGCTTCCAGTTAGGACAACATCGTGTGTGTGTATATATACATATATAAATATACATTACCTGCTCGGACATTGGTGATCCGTCATCCATAGTGTGACTAGCTACTTTTCCGGCAATGACACTTCCATCTGTTTCAAGAATAATCCTGAAATATATTGGACAAGAGTTTACACAAATTAGCTCACCCGGTTAATTATTAGGGGTGGAAAAATGAAAAAATCTAATGAAGCCTACCCTCCGTCGACAATCTCATCAAGGCAAAGAAGAATCAGATCCATGTTCTCTAGTGCCTCTCTGTGGTCCACATTGTTCCTAAACATATGAATATCTGGTTTGTCATCAAGATAAGCTATCGGCATTAATTCAAGAAGAATAAAATAAAAAAATAAAAATTTGGAACCTTAGAAGAAGAGCAACTGCATCAAAGAAACCCTGTAGAACACTAGCCAGGATCAGCTCATTTTCCCCATCACTTGCAGTCACAAAGAAGTGCAGATCTTGAACAAATTTATACACGATAATGTTGTTCTCCAACATTGTTATCTCAGCTGCACACCACCACATTTATACAACCTTTTTAGGATTCGAATGGAAGTTCTACAAAACTAAATAGATGAAGGCTGAGCAGAATGACATGAGTTAGCGATCAGCAATACAAATTTAATGAAGATTGAAATGTACCTTCACTACGAGCATTCGTTTTTTGAGTCTTTGAAAATATTGTCTTTTCGAAAGCAAGCTTTGTGCTGTTTGTAGGCCATTCATCGGAATAGTACTTGACAGCAACACGTTTACCTTCCGAATCCAATAAAAGTAGGTTCTTAATCGTTGGACAATCTCCCTACATTTCCACAAATCAGAAATTCACCATCTCAAAGCATCAATTTCAAATCCACCACAACGAATAATCAAATATCAGAATTACACAACACATCACAAATTGCAATTCCAAACATCGCAAAACATGCATATTCAATACTGCATCGGATCAGAACAAGCACCGATCGTCAATCAAACTTACCATTTCGCTCGCTCTCCGCACACGCACACTCCAAAATTCCAACAATCAAATCACTAATCACATCCTATTAATCCACACGCACATAAAAGTCCGAATCTGATGTCACAATACATATATAGATCTCAAAAATCCCTCATTGAACAAACACAATCATCGCAGCAACCACAACAACTGCTCGCATAATTCAGATTTCCAATAAAAAAAAAAAATTGCGCGCACACATACATTAGATCCTGCATGTCAGACAGAAAAACAAAAACAATAATGCATAATGAAACCTAATTACTTGACTGAGAAAGTTGGCCATTGCAGCGAACGATCTTCAGGGAGAAATCTTGCCGTTGGTTCAGATACAACTGAAAATTGTTACAGCAGACGTCGTATATATTTTATACTGCTGGGCCATTATTCCACAACCAAATGGGCCAAAATTAATAAAGAAAGGCCCACTTAAATGGGCCATATTTAAGCCCATTATAAAATTTTATATATAAATGTAAATAAAAATATCATAAACAACAAGCTGGAGTAGCTCAGGAAGGTTCAAGCCCTTCCTCTAGCGAACTTTTCGTTTATTTAATTTATTTAAAATAGAAATTTAATTATTATTATTTTTTTAAATTAAAGTTGAAATACATATCCGTTAAACTTTACTTTTCTTGTCTATCTTTTATTTCAAATTTTCAAAATTCGAAAAAAAAAGCTACAGTCGATTAATCTTCATCTTCTCTATTAAATTAATTTTAATGTCTGAATATTCATCTCTTCTTCAGACAGCAGTTCTTGAATCGGCAGAAGAATTTGCTTGTTTTATTTGCTCAAGGTTTTTCTTCTCTGCGTGAAAATGGGTGCTTCAGGAAAGTGGATTAAATCTCTGATCGGTCTCAAGAAACCCTCGCCCCATGAATCCATCGTAAGTCTCACAAATTTTCGACTCGAATCTTGTTTCCTCAGAATTCCCAAATTTGTCCATTTTCTTTAATTGCATTCTTAATTTGAGAAAACAGAGAAATAAAAATTTGATCTTTGGGCAGGAAAAGGGAGAAGGTAAGGGGAGGAAATGGAAGCTATGGAGGACCCCCTCGGGGGGCAAAACCACCGCCGGCGGCGGCGGTGGCGGTGGCGGTGGCGGCGCGGCGGAGATTGAGGGCTCGGAGGTGTCTTCTTATTTCATCGACGGCGAAATGGCCGCCGCCGTAGCTGCTTTAGCCAAAGCTTCTCCAAGAGATTTCATGGCTGTTCGAAGAGAATGGGCTGCTGTTCGAATTCAGACAAATTTTCGTGCATTTCTTGTAATTATTTTTTTATTACAATATATATATATATATATATCAAATCTTATATGATCTGATCTGTGTAAAATTGTTAAAATCTCCGATTGATTGTTAAATTCTGTAATTCCTTGTAGGCACGACGAGCTTTGAGGGCTTTAAAAGCATTGGTTCGGCTTCAAGCTATAGTCCGAGGTCGATTAGTTAGAAAGAAAGCCGACGTAACTCTACGATGTATGCACGCTCTGGTTCGGGTCCAGGCTCGGGTCCGAGCTCACTGCAGCCAAGCCTCAGGTTCGGAGCATTCGAAGGATCGAAATCGACTTGATCCAATCAAACAAGCCGAGGTTCGAGTTCAATATCAGACATGATCGAACATTGTATGTTGTAGTATTGTTTCGTCGAATGTGGTTCGATGATCCTATGTTTCGACTCTGTTTTATTACAGAGCGGATGGTGTGATAGCCGCGGGACTGTCGAGGAAGTCCGGTCGAAGCTGCAAATGAGGCAAGACGGAGCCATCAAAAGGGAGAGAGCTATTGCCTATGCTCTTTCTCAGCAGGCAATGAATTAACTTTAAGTTTAGTTTCGGAATTCGATGATCGTTTTTATCGAATCGAATGTTTGTTGTTTCTTTGATTTCAGCAGCTGCAGAAAACCCCAAAATCGTGCTTGAAATCGAGCACGCCGAGCAAGAAGCTAAATTGGTTAGAGCGCTGGATGGCGAACAGGCCGTGGGAGAGTAGGCTGATGGAAGAATTCCCGGGGGAGTCATCAAATTCGACGCCGAAATCTTTAAAATATGGCGCCGGGTCTTTGTCGAGCGCATCCGATTACGATTCGGTGACGATGAGGCGCAACAACGTTTCGAAGCGGGTCATCGCAAAAGTCCCGAAAAGCTGCCAAATTACGCGCTCGATCTCCGATCCATTTACGGAGTCGATCTGCGGCGAGAGCACGAACTCGAACTTATCATCGACGACCACATCGGGAAGTCCGGGATCAGGGGAGATAAATGGCCCCCGGCGTAACTACATGAGCCTCACGACGTCGATCAAGGCGAAGCAGAAACCAGGCAGCACTTATTCCTCGAATCCTCGATCTATCCAAAGGCATTCGATCGAGGATGTACCATGTTGTAGGAAACCGAGTCCTTTGTCTAAAGGGATCGCTCGGAGGAGCGCCGATGCTGATCTTTACACGGTTGATTTATGCAAAGATCTCTATCCTCCGGTGGGCGGAGGTAAAGGTTATTACAAGTGAGGCGACGAGGAAGATCGATCGATTGGTGTTGTAAGAGTCGAAGTATTTTGATGAGTTCAACGTCTTGTTGTTCTTGGTACTTCTTTGTTTTTTTCAATCTTTTATTTTTTTTCTTCGATTCGAGATTGCCTTAGTTATCGGGTAGTTAGGTGTTTACGGTTGGCTCGATTTTTATGCGAAGCGTTGTTTTGGATACGGCGCGATTGCGAGGGATTATTGGTCGTGTAGATTTGTCGATTTTGAGCCTTGTTTTGTGAGGTTTTTGTGTGTTTTTTGTGTATATTGTTGTTGTTGTCTTCTTAATGACGAGGTTTGTGTCTTAAATCATCGATGTTGTAAGAACACGGGGTTCTTTTAAAGTTTGATTTCAATTTTTCGCATTAGTCATCTCATTGCAATGACATTCCATAGTTGCAAAGAAGAAAATCAATGGTCCGGTAAGAATATCACTGTGGCGTGGGGTTGAATTTGTGACCATGAGGTCATGGGTGTAAACTCCGACGCTTCAGGTTATTTGCCATATATGGCTCGTCTAGTGTGACTTGCCCATCGGATGGTAATTACTCCATCCGTTCGTTACCCGATCTAAATGAGCTATTTTTAGTGGACGGAGAGAGTATTTTAATTTAATGTACTGACTTGATCAAATAAGTTGGGATAGCTTACTAAGTACCACCCACCTTAATATTATTTTATCTCACTTCATATAAAAGTACCATAATACATCTTTCAACGTGTAATTTTTGTTAGTTATAACTAAATGGTATTCCTTTTTGTTACACATAGATCTTTATAACTAAATGGTACTCATTTCGTCATTTAAATTTATACTTATTTCTGTTGTGTCTAAAAAATATTTTTGTTTTTTCTATTTCGATACTACTGTAGAAGGAAAATTTTCTATTTTTATATATTATTTTTTTTAAAATTCATGTATGATCAAATGAGCATAATTTTAGATGATGAACATAATATTTTATTCTCTACACAATTACTCATATATACCAAATATAAAAATCGCAGCAGATCCTGTACTAATTTGACCGGATCAATATACAGTATATGATTGACCAACATATGTTTATACATATGTCATCGCATATTGTATTATAAAATAACATACGTTAAATTATAATATTCCATCCGTCTCTGAAAGGTTGTCATTTTCTATTTTCGTCCGTCCTAAAACAAAGTTATCATTTCCTAATTTAGTAATTGTACTACCTACCTAACATAATAAATACCCTAGCAACTTACACTATATTATACAAATGCCATTATTTTTATATTACACAATATTAATAGCAGACATTTTTACCTTTTTCACTACAATCCATTATAATGCTAATATTAAAAAATTTATATGCAAAAAGTAAACTGCAACCTTGTTCCGGAGGGAATATAATATATATTAACATTATAAATATGTTAAAAGATATATATATAATATTGTTGATTACCATTATAATATATATATATATATATTTATCACGTCAATAAAAAATACTAAAAATTATGTTTCTTTTCCTGTCTCTAAATTTTTTGTTACTATTTGATCTCACTTTTTCTTTTTTGACAAATATTACTTTAAACATTATTTAAATCCAAAAAAGTTTAAAATATCCAAACTATTACAAACTGACTATTATTACATTGTTGGTATTCAATTCAATTCACCAAATGAGAAATAAAGGTTAGTCCAAAAGCAGGCAAGAAATATGGGGTTTTGGGATTTGTGTTTGGTTGAGAATTCCAGAAGAGGTATTGCTTACATAAGATACATACAAAATTTGAGGGTAGGGAAGGTGTCATTTTAAAATACCAACAACACATCCAAACACGTAGTCAATTATTGCTTCCCTATCACCAGATTATGTACTTTACATGCAAACTATTTCTTGCTCACTAAACTTTGTTCTTCAAGAAAATAATTTTTGTCCTCATTTACACAATATATATATTATATAGGTGAGATTGATAGTTGTGATCATCTGTTGTTGCATTTAATGCTTGACCAAAATTGTTTATCTTTTTTTTTTATTTCTAAAAAATAAAAAATAAAAAAATTTTAAGAATTATATATATATATATATATGGCTGTCTGTTGTATTGTTTCATGAAAATGGAAAATCTATGTTGCATTTGTGTTCATTTTTTCACCAAACTATGCTTTCTTTGATATGTAGATGTTAAGCATATTTTTTTATATTGTTTTTTGGGCTACAATTCTCATTTTTTTGTCATAATATAATTTTTATTTTTTGCAAATATTTAAATATGGTATCAGAGCTGAGTTAATGTTTATTTTGCCCCCATGGGCCATTTCTATTTTTTTCGCAAATATTCATACAGTAGTAAAAAATATTTATTATATATATAAACATTTAATGTTAGAGAATTTACAAATTTATATTTATATCTATATCATTCACTAGAGTATTATTGTTTTTAATGGTTTACATAGTGATTTCCAATCAAATTCGAGCTTATATGAACATACATTGCTTATTCAAATGAATGTTTTTCAATAAGTACAATATTTACTTTGAAACAGATGTAATGAGATCTTACAACTTAGTATTATATATTGAATATCAGAGTTACTATCATTTGAATTGATCTTAAAATCACTTAAATCGAATGGATTACACAAACCATAAATTGAATCGAATTTGACTTTCATCGATCGATTGGCCCAAATTAATTAAAACATTATCGTTCGATTATTACTAAATTTCCACTCTACTAAATTCATAGGTTAGAATTTAATCTCTATTTAGATTTGATTACTTTCATTTTTATTATTATTATTATTTTTAAAGTTTTCATTAAGATATATAGAAAATCATTTGACACATTTTGAAATTATGGCTATCATGTAATGAATGATATTTTCTTGATCCAACAAACTAGGAAATGTCTTGTCAACCTACTCTTGATTGATCAACTAATATAAAAATAAAAAAGTGAGAAATTATATTTTTGTTAAAATAATAATTATGCTTGACTTATAAATGGAAATTACAAGAGCTTTTCAAAGCCTAGTTATATTAATCAAGAAAAGTGAAAAAGACATTTTATTATCATAATCATAATAATAATGTCATTTTTTCAAGAAACCATAATTTCATTACTATAAATCAAATACCGTCTAATATAGAAAAGTACTCATTATTGTTGGAATCTGGAAATGTATTATCTCCACACTTATTTTTAGAAAATATTTTTATTATGCAATGTTCAAACTTTTTTTTTTTTTTAAAAAGAAACAATTTATGTAAAATCACAATTTCTTATCCACAAGTATAATTTATAATCGGTATAACCATTTGTCACAAAATATAAATGCACTGAGTATAGAATTTATGGTACAATCTACGATGTCCACTTTTAAGTGTTATATTTATCTTTTGCATAATTCTATTAACATTAAAAATATCTTTTTATACAAATATAATTAATATTTAAAATCCAATCCGTACGAAATAAGCACACAACCAGATGATGGAAGTGAATATAAAATTGAATGACGAAAATAGTATATAATATATACACATAATAATAAAACCAGTAAAAACATCATTACTTGTTATACTTTATAAAACACCTAAAACTAAAAAATAAAAATAAAAAAATAAAATGAAACACTCTTACACAAGTCCAAAAAAAAAAGAAAAAGAAGGCATAATTGATGATGATCTCAAGAGACAAAACCAATGTAATTTTTTCCTATATATTCACAAGAAAAAAATAAATAAATAAATAATAATGAGAAAGTAATATCAAAAGAGGAATTGCATTTTTGTAAACCAAGGGTAGAGAAGAGGGCCCTAATCGCCATTTCTGTACAACTCTCTCTCTACATTTAACTCTCACTCTACTCTTCATTCACAGCCTGATCATATCACCACATTGAACCCTTTCCCCAATTCCTTTTCATACTCCTTCCTACTTTCTCACACACACCTGCCTCTCTCTGCATGTGTGTCATCTAATAATCTTTTGCAGGAGTTTATATACATATACATACATATATTATATATATGTGTGTGTGTGTGTGTTAGAGAGAGAGAGAGAGAGAGGGATCAAGAAATGGGACACCGTCACCTATGCTGCAACAAGCAGAAAGTGAAGAGGGGCCTTTGGTCACCTGAGGAAGATGAGAAGCTCATCAGCTACATTTCCACCTATGGCCATGGCTGCTGGAGCACTGTCCCTAAACTCGCCGGTAAATACATATACATATATATCGACATCAATTAGATCCACATATATATACACACATTCATTAATTACAACTTCTCCATTTCCAGGGCTGCAAAGATGCGGCAAGAGCTGCAGACTGAGATGGATAAATTACCTGAGGCCTGATCTCAAGAGAGGAAGCTTTTCCCAATGCGAAGCATCCCTAATCGTCGAGCTCCACCGCATCCTCGGCAACAGGTACAATGCAACATTTCAATCAAGCTGATCACATACATATATATATATGTATGTATGTATGTACAGTGAGTACTTAAGTATTAAGTAAAATGCTCACAAATGACTTTATATAAAAGATGGGCTCAAATAGCAAAGCATCTCCCGGGAAGAACAGACAATGAGGTCAAGAATTTCTGGAATTCAAGCATCAAGAAAAAGCTCATTTCTTCGAACCAAAACAACCATTCACAAGATCATATTGTTAAAAATCCTTACTCTCTTCCCAATAGCGCCACCAGCAGCAGCAGCAGTGGCTCTTCTGCTGAGAATCTGTACTTCCTGAATCCAAACAGCAGTAACTTCATCATCCCAAATCCCCAAATGGATCGAATCATCGGCTCCTCAGACTTAGACCTACCTCCATTGCAAGAATTTGATCCCTTTGATCAATCCAGGCTGGATCAGGTAATGAATTTTCAGGCACCTTTCACAGAACTGTCCTATCCTATAAACATCCCACAAAACCAGCAAGGTGATGATTATAACTCCGCATTTACCTATGAAGATAACAGCACCAGTCAAGTTATGATCGGGAATTATATTCAAACCCTAATCCCCAAATCTGTAACAACAACTTACAATGAACAAGAATTAGCAGCAATGAACAATTCCACTGTACCATCACTCAATCCATCTGAAAAGGGAATTGACTGTTTCATACCCTTTCCATCATCTGTTACACAAGAGCATCATCCCGGGGGTGAAATCCCCGGCCACTCAGGACTCCCATGGAACATAGAGGCAGAAACTGCGCCTCGGCATCTGACTCCTCCTATTCCATTGGACTACATTGAATCCTTCATGACACCATTTTGATCATCAATTCCAGCTGCTCTGGTATACAGCTATCTTATATATATATATATATGCATGTATGTATAATTCCTATATTCTGTTTCAACATGGATATACTTTGCTATACATTTCTCAAGGACTATTAATTCTATTCTAGTTTGGTGATTTTGGCAGGTGTCTTGCCAAAAATGAATGTTCATAATAAATGCTGAAGCTCTTTACGTAGTTTTATCAAATGCATACTTACCTAATCGAGAAATACCTTCAACAGAAATGCCATATTTCATTGTATTTGCCTTTCAAGTGATTGAGATCTCTTATCCACTCTGAAATAATTCTACGTATATAGACGACAATCTTTAGAGTGGCTTCATACAGATTATTATTATTTTTGTACAATCTACAATGAAATAGTTTGTTCACCTAAAAGCATGATATCCAATGTATATTTCCATCCAAAACATCACATTCGACAATTTTTTCATGCAAAACAACCCAAAACACAAACAAATTCAAACTAAGAATTGTATAGATTGGAAAATAAACAAAAATAAGTCATTAAGCTACACACATAGATTATAAATCAAAATCATGTAAACAAGTCTGTGTCAAGCACAAATGTTTTACTGAACCTTAAAGCAACATAGTCAGTCCTTCCTTCATAAAATGTGGATCAAAATTATTTAAATGCAAAAGTAGAAACTAATATTCATTATGCTGTGATCCTAAAGCGACCCTTGGCGATTCTTCGGGCAATGACTCTTCTGCCTCCCTTAGTCGATTTTCTGTTCAGAATGGAACATATTTGTCACTTATTGAAGGAATCATCAGAAAACACGTTTCAAGAAAGATTTGGCAAGTGAAAAAGGGTCTTCGATGGAAGTTGTAGGATGAGAAACAGATAGAGATCTTAGGGAAGAAAATGGATCCAGAAATTTGTCTTATTTCATGACATGCATAATCATAATGCCATTGAAGGCAAAAAAAATGCAACAGTTTAAGGTTTTTTGAGCAATTGTATGACGGTAGCCGTACATGATATGCTGCATCAAGTAGGTGTGTACTTTCGTGTACAAACATGTATGTGTGAGAGTGAATGAATAAAGACGTGTAAGTGAGATAGAGAAGTTCACCGAGCAAAGAATCCATGATTTCTTTTGCGCCTGATGTTGCTTGGTTGGTAGGTCCGCTTTGGAAGCAAAAGCATAGGTTCACTTGATGAAGACTCATTGCCTGTGGAGAATCAGATAGTAAAATTTCAAGAGTCAAATCCTGAACTCACAACCAAAACAACAGAGGAACAAATTTAACCTTTTGAAATCTCGATATCTGATTGAACAGGAATTAGCATAATGCATGGTGCCTATTAACTCCTCATGAACGTAGAGAAGCATGGTTGGAAAGATCCAATTCAAAATTTACATTATTATGGATAGCGAATGAAATGATGTCTGAACTTGATCCAGATAACAGCTTCTGACTAATAATGAATGAATGATCCTATAACATACAATGTCACTAATTACAGCAAAATTTTGTAATAGCAGACTTGGTTTAATTAACAAGAGAATATTAGCACGAAACATCAGAGTGTAAATCAAAGACAAATTTGGTAATCTGGCATCTAATGTAACATCTATGAGACTACAACTATTTTTCTCCACTCACCAATCTACTGATTAGAAATATAACTGAAGCTCAATCCAATGTGACGAGCAGAGTACAGAGTTTGTGCTAATGAACCCCACAAACTTTTCTTCGCAACCTATTCCACATCAATGGCACAACTAAAGGTACAAGAAGCTCACAAGCCCTTCTATATCTTTTATTGGGATAGGACTTTTAACATAATGGAGGTTTAAAACCTCGGGGACACAAGGTGACGCCAACCTTTAGTTTTCTAAAATGAAGCTACCAAACCAATCAAAACAATGATAGAATCATCTCTCCGGTGTTTCTAGATATTACATGTGATAGTTATACAGCTAAGAAACGGAGTTCATTACCACAGCTAATGAGAAGCCAATGAATTCCATCCACAGTACACCATGCAGTTAGAAATTCGACTATGCCGAGCATATTATGTTCGATTAATCACACCAATCTCATTAAATTGTTGACATTACACTAACCCCTGAACGAGGAAATGCAAAGTTCAAAGCGCTCAAAATAGCAATCTATAATCCACCTAACAGTTTTAATCCACAATCAAAGGTAAATACAAGAAAAACAGATCGTAAAATTCAAAAGTTACCGTCGGGAAGGAAGAATGGAAGAGAAGGAAGGCCGGAAGGGTATAAGAACCCGGCGGAGGAGAGCTTTTGCAGCGGATCAACGCCGTTCTGATGCACCGGAAAGTATAAAGGCGTCGTCTTCTTGTGGAGCTCAGGTGTGAATACAGAAGGCAAGAACTTCGGCGGAGCGACCAATTCGGAGCTCTGAGAGACGACTTGACTCGAATTGGAGAGGAGATTGCGGCTAAGGCATCGGGACATGAAAGAAACGCCGGTGCGAAGTAGGGCTTTGGACGACGCCATTTTTGGAAGAATTGAAGGGACTGCGACGGAGGCGCCGATCTGAAACCTTAAACCCTATGTTCGATGGCACACAGCACACTGTCGATTGCGGAACGCATTTTTCGACGGTCCCTTTGGAAGCTCCGGGATCCCAATACCAATTTCATCCAACCCGGTTTTTTGTAAATTGAGTTTATTTTTTTGTTTGAATAATGTAAAATAATTTTGACATTTTATTTTTATAAACAAAAGAAATTAGATTTTTGTAAAATTCATAGCTATTTTGGTATTTATACGATATTTTTTTGTTCGTTGTTATTAAAAAAAATTATATTTCCTCCGTTTTAATTCAAAAATATATTTTTATTATTATTTTCATTTGTCTATTTCAAAATATTCTTTACATATCCCATTTTAAAATATCTCTTTACTTATTTTAATTAATTATATTAATTTTAATTTATAATTATTTTATTATAATAAATAATTTTCTTCTATTATTTTAGATGTAATTTATATTTGTATTCAAATTTAACATTGAAATTAAAATCAATAGATTAAATCCGACTAAAAACAAATGTAACATTATTTTCGAAATCCGTACCAATTTTCAACCGGCGGTGAAATTTTATTTACCAACACTCAACGGTAAGCCTCCCGAAAGAAATTCACCAGCACTCTATCATCCCTGCTGTTCTATTTTCACCTTCAGAGCTTCAATCACTGCCGAGAAATCATCGTCGCTGAGGCCGCGGGATTTCGCCACTTTGTAGAGCTCATTCGCCGCCGCGGCAATCGGTGTCGGTTGCGACACCGACTCAGCCAATCCGAGCGCGAGTCGAAGGTCCTGCCACAATCGAACACCGCCGTAAAAAACTTTTGTCCGAACATGACTAACCGGAAGTTTTCAGACAGCATACCTTCTGCTGATGCTTCAACGGGAATGCCGTAGGATATGACGACTGAACCATCGAAGGCCCTTTCATGGCGTACATTGGCGAGCTGATCGCCCCTTGCGAGATAACCTGCAAGAACGACAGCTTTAGCTGCTTTTATCGAGGAGATTTACGTTGTACTGGTGGGTTTACCTGCACCAGAATACTTGGATCGAGCCCGACTTTTTCACTGAGAATCAGACCTTCGGAAAAGGATGCCATCATGCTGCCATGGTGAAATCGAAGTGAACTTGCATTAAAAAATGGTGGTGAAAAATGAAGTATAATTATGCAAAGTACCTTCCCATGATCATATTGACGACGAGTTTCATGGCAGCACCATTACCAACGTCTCCAAGGTAAAATCTTGACTAGAACAGTTGTGAAAATTGAAAATCAATATATCAGGAGTGGACATCGAGGAGTGAAAGAACAAAGTAGACGATTAATAACCTTTCCCATGATGTCTAAAAAGGGGCCGGAAGTTTCGTACAGAGATTTGTCGCCTGTGATAAAAAAGAACAAACATGGATTCACTTCATCGTACGGGACTTTTTCAGACCAAAACTAAGCTAGAAGATTCTATTAAGTTAATTCGAGGCATTTACCTGCAGTAAGGAATATTAACTGTCCGTCTTCAGCTGGTTTCTTCGATCCAGAAACTGGAGCCTGTCGAAAAAGTGGTTGTGTTCCTTTATTTTGTAGGCAATAGAGTCACGTCATGACTCATGAGTATTTAGTTCTTATTGAGATAAAAAATGTGAAAAAACTTAACCTCCAAAAATTGTGCTCCAGTCGATTTTATACTCGAGCTGATCATTTTGGAAGTGGCGCCGTCAACAGTTGACACATCTACATAACTGCAAGCAATGATTTAAAGGGAATCGAAAGATAAGGGCAAAGGAGACAATAAAATTTAGAAAGATAGTGGAAATAAGAAGTTCGGGTTTGAAATCTTTCACAGTTGGAGTAAATAAATTGCAGGCAAGAACTAATGAATTGTATTTCATGTGGGAATTGTCGAATATTACCCTTTTCCAGGGGCCATACCACTCGCAGCTCCGTTCTTTCCACAAGCAACATCAACCTGGAGGCGTAAAAAAATCAATGAACTGAAACTGTTACGACAAGGCAGCTATGTTGAACAAAACAGTAATACCCACTGCACTTTGGGGATCGGCGAGCATTGCAAATGTGACATCACAAGAGGCAGCTACTTCCTCGGGTGAGGGCTTATATCTGCATCGAAGTCCCTTTTCTTATTAAATTATATATTGCAAATCCAAAATGCCTGGTGTACAGAAACCATGGCAGGCAAGATAATGCAAACTGCCGAAATTCTTCTCTCATGCACAAACGATGAAAATCAAGAAATTCTATAAAAAAATCTTGTAAAATGCTATATGTGATAAAAATTAGTGAGGTTAAATGCAACACTTCGGTCTCATCAGGGCAGCCCGGATGACTTCTTGAATAGGACAATGGCGTTATAGATTAACTCAAGTGTACATTGAGAAACTTTCTAAGAGTCACCCACCAAGTTGTTAACTCTCGAGAAACCATGTGCACTTATATATGTATATATAGTCATATCAAGCCTCCTAAACTCTTCTTGATTTTCGATTATTACATTAATTCTAACAAAAACTATCCGCATCTTGTCTTTAAATCAACTGCAATTTTTGTATTCTAAACAAAGATATATGAAAGAGTAAAAGGTATTCTTTTCACACAAGTAAGTTTTGAATTACTTACTTCGCACCCAAGGAGATGAGGGGGTCACATTTGCCTTTCGTTCTATTCCAAACAGTAACGTCACATCTATAACACAAGTCCAATCAGTAGCAAGTTAACGATCATAATAACCGTAAAAATTTCTCTTATGGATAATCAACAAGAGACTAGCCAAGAAACATACTATCATTAAAGTTAACAAAATGAACTATTAGGAGATTGAGACATTTTGCATGAGTCCAATAACAGAAGCTACGAAAACTATACTTCTACACAAAATTGCACGACTACTTAAACATAATTTTGTGAAAACTATCATCAAATGCTACTAAGGACACAATGCTACAAAAGAACACATATACAGTGGTGACCTGTCGGCAGCATTGATGATTTCGAAATCCTTAAACAATGATACAAAACCGGTAAAGATGTTGGAAGACTAAACAATAAGTTCGGCTTATTAAGATTGATTCATACCCTGCTTTTATGAGATTTTGTGCCATCGGAGATCCCATGATTCCTAGACCAAGAAATCCAATGCGCACCGGTGATCCATCTGCTGCTTTGGAAACATTAAGTACATCAAAATTTCATCAGATTTTAGAAGATTTATCAAAAAATCATTTGTAAAAAGCACAATTATATATATACATCATCTGCTTTGGAAACAGTATGCACTTAAAAATTCAGCAGGTATTCCAAAATTTAGAAGATTTATCACAAAATCATTTGTAAAATGCACAGCTATATATATATATATATATTCTTATCCCCATCATCTCCCCTGATATGCACATCTGCAAGAAAGTGTATTGAATCCTCCAAATTAACAATTAGGCATTACAGTTAATGAACAGGCCAGACAATCTACAGACATGGTTTCTCTTGACCTAACAGAGTAAAATTCAATTGGAAGCTACCGGCAATAAAATTACCACCTGCAGCACTATTCGAAAATGGCAAAAATCACAATGAATACAGCAAATCCACCGCAAAGCAAGGAACAATCATCAAATGAATGGCCATCAGACAAAAATGCGAACCTAAAACTTTACCCTTGGAGCCATCAGAAGATAAGGCCTTAACTCGAACCAAACAATGCGGTTGAGTGGAGAGACAAGGAACTGGCGTAGGTCTAAAACAGATAGTTCTCCGGGGGCAAAAGCTCGAGCGCAGAATCATGGCTTTCGAGAGTGAAGCTGCAGTGTTAAAGGGCGAAAACATTGCGGCAGTGGTTAGATAATGGCTCCGGCAGCTGGTGTTCGCCACTAAACCCATAGAAATTCCGATCACAGTGTATCGCAGTATTATCTTGGTGCCAATCGAAAGTGGATTGAGTTTTATATAGGTGTGGGAGCTTTAATGGCTGTGGCAGACTGTGTCTGACATTGATGTCGTCGTCTTCTCCCTCCCTAATCCGAATTGCAATTCAGGAAGAAGCCACGTCGCTTTGAGTTCAGCTTTTCACGGGCTTGGGCTTCAAAGAATTTTAAAATATTTGGGCTGAATAACTGGACAATAAGGATTAGTGGGCTGGGCCAATTTGGCTGTATAATTAATAATAATAATAATAATAATAATAATAATAATTGATTTCATATTCAAATTGCAATTTAGTATTTTATTTCTATCTTATTCTAAAACATATTACTTCCTCTATCTACTAAAAATATCCCATTTAGATCGAGCTCGTAGTTTAAGAAAAATGAATAAATTTTTGAAAAAGTATATATAGTTGGAGGTTTTTTTGAAAATTTAGTTAAAAATAAAAAGTAAATAAAGAGAATGTAATAAAGACAGAAATATTTGTTGTAAATAAGTATTGAAAGAATGATATAATTAAACATTGTTGTCAAAATTAGTAATGTGATAAATATAGCGGACAAATTAAAAAAAAAATGATAACAAATTTGGCGAATGAAGAAAGTATTTGAAATATATAATATATAAATATAATAATAATAATAGAATTCAACGTAAACAAAAAAGATAAAATAAAATAAAAAATTATGATACATCTATGAATACTTCTACAACCAAATTACTGTAAGAGGTAACTTTCTGGTGTAACATGAGTTCATCCATACCCTTGGCCTAATATGATTTCTTTTGTGTAGATTCGGTCGGAGGTTTACTTAGAGAGTAACAGCAGTAGTTTCATATCATAAAAAAAAAAAAAAAAAAAAAATTGAAAAAACACATTGGTTGTGTTCGTTGTGGATTTTAACACAAGATTTTTAGATTTGTTTTTTCTCAAAATATCAAATAAAATAATAATTATTTTTTTTATATTATAGTACAAATCTATTCTACATTCAAAACATCATATCTACGTCTATTTATATCATATCAAACAATTATTCAAATTCAACGTTTTAATATTAAAAAATCCAATCTCACAAACAAACATATTCATTATGTTCTTTTTGTGTTTTTTATATACTACACACATTCATTATTTTTATATCATCTAAATAATTTTTAATGTCTCATATAAAAAACATATCTTTTCAAATTATTTTACAAAAAAAAAAAAAAAACACACGAATTTGTAGCATATCTCAATAGTTTACGTTGTGTTTAAAATAATAATTTTGAAAGTTTTAAAATATATTGTTTTGGAATTTAATTAGAAAATTGAGTGTATTGTCATAATCTTTTTTTCGACATACTTTTCAATGAATATTATAAAAAATACTTTATCTTTGCGGGATAATTGTATCATATTTTATTTTTTAATTTATGTTAAATGTATGCATCATTCATCTATAATAAACAATTTTATCTAACTGACAATTTAATCATACTTTAAAAGTATTTGAACACATATTCTAGCTTTTTTTAATCATTTAATAAAAATCATCATAATATAAATAATTAATATATACAATATAAATTCTTGTGCCTAAGCAAAACGCTTCATCTTTGGTGGGACGGAGAGACTAATTAGTTTGTATTTATTTTTTCTACTTATCCTACTATTTTTATTAAGTCTTTAATAATTTTTTTATAATATTTTTACTTTATATTTTACCTACTATATTTTTACATCTTGTTTGGTTGAGTTAGGGAAATAAAATAAATAAATTATGCATAAATTTTAAAAATAAGGAACAAAGAATGGGTGGACAAGGTGTTTGGTTCTATTTTAAATTTATATTAAAGTATTATTAATTTTTAATATAAGTTACTTACACAATGTGAAGTAAGCATGACCACATAAGCATGACGAAAGAATCTTTTTTAATACATCCAAAAAGGTCAAATCTTATAACAGCAATATTGTACAGATAATAATACTTTAATTAGGTTGACACATTTTAAAAACTTTTTACCAGAAATAAAAGTAAAACAGTTGGGGTTGGGGTGTGAGAAATGGTTGTTGGCTCAGAGTCCGAGTTGTCGTCTTCTCCGCTTCCACCCGCCAATTTGTCTATTTCCACCCATTCTCAGTTCACCACTTTTATAACTCTGAATCGGCACCAGACCGCCATTGTTTCCGGCTTCAACTCTTCCTTTTTCGACCACATTCAAACCCTAATTTATACCCCCCAACTTCTCCTCCACCAGTGAGTGTGAAGAGAAATCGAAAAACATAAACCAATTTCTTTCGGTTCTCGAGTGATTTTGAAAATTATCATGTCGACTTTGGGTGCAACTGTTCAACGCGATCAATCCACACCTGTGGCGAGGAGAAAGAGAACCCACCCAGGTCGAGCTCCACAATCTGCACAAAAACCCTAATTTATAGATATAAAAAATTGCCCTAATTGTTCACCTAAATTAATACGACAATCAGCAAGAAACTCGATTAATTAATCAATTAAAACCCTAGTAATGCAATAATGGTTTCATTTTTTTCTGTTTTTGGATCAGATCCTAATTCAGAAGTGGTGGCGTTGTCGCCAAGAACCCTACTCGTGACCAATCAATATATCTGCGAGATCTGCAACAAGGGTTTTCAGAGGGATCAGAATCTGCAGCTGCACAAAAGGACTCACAATCTGCCGGCGAGATTGGAGAGGAATGAAACGGCGGCGAGTAGGAGGGCACAGGCGCCAAAGAAGGTGTATGTCTGTCCGGAGAGTAGCTGCGTGCACCATAATCCAGAGAGGGCGTTGGGGGACATAACCGGGATCAAAAAGCACTACCGGCGGAAGCACTGCGAGAAGAGATGGGAGTGCAACAAGTGCTGGAAGAAATATGCCGTGATGTCTGATTGGGAGGCGCACCGCAAAACGTGTGGGACAAAGTACTACTACTGCGGCTGCGGAAGCCGGTTTACAAGGTAATTTTATGTTGTTTTTGTTGGTGCTCTTTGTTAGGGTTTTTCGGTTTGCTTGAAGGTGTTTGTGTGTTGTGTGTGTAGGAATTTATGCACGAGCGTAGTGCGCACGCGCCTGAGATTTAATTTTTTTGTTAGGGTTTTTGGTTTTTTTTTTTTAATTTTTTTGTTCGATCAAACATGATTCAATGTGTTATTGTGTTGCGTATAGGGATTTATGTATGTGCGTAGTGCGCATGCGTCTGGCAATTTTATATGGTCTGAGTTTATTGTTAGATTTTTATATTATTTTTTTGTTCGAATTTTTTGTTGGGATTTCTTGATTCAATCGGTCCTGGATAATGTGTTTAAGTTTTATGTTTTTTAGGATTTATGTATGCGCGTAAGGTGCACGCGTCAACAATTTTTTATTCTTTTGAGTTCTTTGTGATATGGTTATATTGTTTTTGTTGGAGTTCATTATTATTAGGGGTTTTGGTTTGATTGAATGTGATTAAAGGTGTTTAGGTTTAATATTTGTAGGGATATATGTATGTGCATAATGCGCACGCGTTTGAGATTTAATATTGATTGAGTTCTTTCTTAGGTGGTTATATTGTTTTTGTTTAGGTTCATTGTTGGGTTTTTTCTTCTTTCTTTCTTTATTTGATTGCTCATTATTGAATGTATTTATGTGATACGTGTGTAGCGATTTATGAATGCGCATAACGTGCACGTGCCTAGAAATCTATATTATTAGGCTTTTTTTTTTCTTTTTGTAATGATGTTATATTGTTTTAGTCGAAGTTTAATTATTGTTAAGGTTTATTGGTTTAATTGAACATGAATGTAGGCATTTGTGTTATGTTTGTAGGGATTTATGAATGTGCATAACGCGCACATAGCATATAAAGGCAAAGCGCGTGTGGAACACGCGTGCATAACTTTATTCTTTATGTGAATAGAAAAATGTGAAGCACACGCGACATGCAATTCTCCGTAAAACACACACTCACTAATAAGCTTGGACATTAATAGATGCGTATAGTCGCGTAGATTTATACTTTTCATCTATAAAAGAATAAGCATGCTTGACATATGCGCGCGCAATATGCAATTACATGGAATTAACAGGAGTAGAAAAACACACACTAGTTAAAAACACTTGTAAATTAGATGTACACACATATATACCCTTAGTAACTTAAATTGGCATGATTTGAGCTTCAAATGTATTCATACAACATTGATGAACACTCACATTGATTTTCTTTGCTCGCAATCCTAACCATTGAAAATTTTATGTGTTTATATTTCAGGAAGGATAGTTACAAATCCCACAAGGTATTTTGTGCATTTAGAGAAGCTTCTTCTTCGACGCCGGTAGCCAATGACCCTCGGAACCAAATCCCAACGAGAAGTCCCTATCTCTATCCCCAAAATCAGTTTCCACCTATCACAGGGCACCTTCAACAGGCCTCATCGTCGTCTTATTCGGGAGCCCTTCAGCATTTCTCGAGGAATCATGACCATGGTGACAACCAAGCTGCACGGTTTTCTTTCCGGCCTCCCTCACTGCCATTTCCGGCAGCAGGACAATCAGGTGCAGCAAGTGATCATCTTATGGAGCCCATGGGCGATTATGATCGAATGGTCTCGACTGTTTTGAGCCTGAATATTTCATCCCGTCACTGTGAAACTCGCCCAGCATCAATAGGTATTAATTAAACCCAAACCCTAACCCTAATTTTTTATTTTTTTTTTAATTTATGTTCTATCTCACACACACATATATATGGTAATTATAGAGCTCGACATGCTGTCGAGATTGGAAAACAACACTAGTTTTGGGGGCGGGATCTCCAGTGGTGATGGTTGTGGCGAGGGAGGAGCAGACGGCCATGGTGGGGATATTGTGACAAGGGATTTCTTGGGGTCGATCTAACTTATTTTTTGAGCTAAATTCGTTGATGTTATTGTAAGTTGGGCGGAAAGATGTTTGACGGGGAACTATCCGAGTGGTTACATATGTTTGAGTTTGATGCAAGTTTTAAGTTAGAAATTGCACGATTCATGCTAAGGGAATGGACAATGTTTATATATATTACCGTGAATTCTTTTATAGCTTTCAATTACCGTTGAATACTTTTATAGCCCTTAATTAGTTGACGTTGTTAGAAAATGATGATGCAATGAAATGGAGATAATAATTTTTTTTTTCTTGCCTAATATAACTTGAATATATTAAATCAATCATTTATATGTTTTAAAAAAAAAAAAAAGTTTTGTAACTCCATAACTATTATTTGCCTAATCTAATAAACATTTTAATTTGTACTCTTTTGTGTACAATTGATATCATTCCAACCATCAATCATTCATTAAACAATCAAATTAATTTACTTCCTGGAAATACTTTCTATATTTGTGTATGCACGTTTTCAACTAGTTTTAGGATCTATTTTCTTTAATTTTTTATAATATAGATTATTTAAAAAAAATATTTAATGAGTATAAACGATAAAGATACTGAAATTTGACAGTCAAAATAAATGTATTCAATGTTGTACGTCTAAATTCAAAAATTTTCCATCCGTGATCCACTAGAAAAGTAAAAAAATCAAATAATTTTGTTCGAATTGAAAATTTGATATTTGTATTTAAACATTTCTAATTCAAGATTGAATTTAAATAGTTGATTGGATTTGAATATTAATCAAATATACATATAAAACTTAATATTCGACTCGATATTCATAAATATTTAATTCGATAATAAATAAAATATATTTTATCTATACAATTATGTATATACATTATACTCCCCTTCGCTAATTTGTACGTTTCGACAGTTTTAGGTATTAAAAATAATTATAAATTAAGATTAATATAACCAAATAGTTTAATTAAAATAAAAAATATAAATTATGAATTTTAAATGTAATTAAAGTGTATAATTATATATTTTCAAAAATAAAAAAAGACAATTTCTGTGGGACAAACAAATATGAAAAAAAACCGACAAAAAAAATATCACTAAAAATAATTATTTGAATTTGTATATTAAATTAAAACGAATGAAATCTAACTTTTATTCATTTCAAAATATAATTTTAATACAATTGAGATCTATGAAAATAATAATATACAAGTTTTACTATTTCCATTTATCAAATTCAAAATATAAAAGTAATTCATATATAAATATTAAAATACTTATTATTTTATATTTATTGAGCAAAAATATTAAAATAATTTCACACTTTTACTATTAATAAATTATTACTATTTTTTAATATACTAAAAAAATACTCCTATTACTTAATTTAAGTTGAAACAACTCCAAAAATATATTTATAAATATATTTAAATACAATCAAAATATAATTATGACATCAATCATATACAACAATATTGTACAAATAATAATATTTTATTTAGATGCTTTCTACCAAGAAATAAAAGTATTAGTAGGATGCCAGAAATAATTGTTGGAGTCATCAGAGTGGTCATCTTTTTCTAAAATTAAATAAGTTCGATGATTCCAAAGATGTAACAGACCACAAAAACTACACACAGAACCAGAAGATGTCATAACCAACATTGCACAGATGGAGACGACGACGAACAAATTATTAATAAACAACTGACACACAAACCTAATTTTAGGACTTAAAAGAAACTTCAATTCTCCACTTCCCAGCACCATTTGTCTGTTTGCATGCACCTTCTTATTCAATCCCGCCAGCCAATTTGTCCATTTCCAGCTTTTCTCACTGTTCGCCATTTTTATACCACCCATTGTTTCGAGCTTTAGAAATTTTCATCCTTCTCTTACATTGGCTTCACCACTGAGTGTGAAGAGAAATCGAAGAACATAAAACAATCTCTTTCTGTGTTTTTTCGAGTGATTTTGGAGTTAATCATGTCGAATTCAGGTGCAACTTCTCAAAATGAGCAATCAACGCCTGCGGTGAGGCGAAAGAGATCCCACCCAGGTCGAGCTCAACAATGTGTCTAGATCCCGCCACCAAGACCAGTGTTGTTTTCCAATCTTGAACAATATAAAATCTCCACCGCATGTGCATTACGAACATTCATAAATCCCTACAAACATAAAACCTAAACACTTTAATCACATTCAATCATACCAAAACACCCCAAGAATAAACTAGAACAAAAATAACAATAAGAACACATAAAATACATTCAATCACACCCCAAAAAAAGCCATCAACAAACACGAAACAAAAACAATATAACAATATAACAAAAAACTCAAATAGCATAAAATTGTCAGGCGCACACACTACGCTCATGCATAAATCCCTATGCACGCAACGCATAAACACTTTCAATCGCATTCAATCAAACTAAAAAGACCCAACAATAAACTCGAACAAAAACAAATTTAAAGAACTCAAATAATAAAAACATTCCCGACGTGTGCGCATTACTCGCACACATAAATCCCTACATAAGAAACGCATAAACACCTTCAATCACGTTCAATCAAACCAAAAAATGCTAACAACAAACACGAACAAAAACAACATATAATCACCTGGTAAACCAGCTTCCGAAGTTGCACTAGTACTCCTTCGTCTTGCAGTGCACCTTCCAATCCGACTTCACAGTGTACTTGTTCAAGAACTTGCTGCACTCCCACCTCTTCTCTCAATGCTTCCGCCAGTAGTGCTTCTTGATCCTGGTCAAGTACGCCTTCACCGGATTATGGTGCACACAGCAACTCTCCGGGCAGACGTGCACATTCTTCAGCTCCGCACTCATATTGTCCACTAGCAGTGGAGGAGCGCAACCGATGTGTGCACAGGACTAAGGGAAGAAACAATAATGGCCCGTATGAAGCAACACAAATAGTGAATGGGAGAGCTGGTCAAGCTGAGCAAGAGCCTTGCAGCATATGCCGGGAGGATTATAAAGCTGCAGAAGATGTCGGAACACTCGAATGTGGGCATCGATTTCATCGGGACAGTATCAAAGAATGTTGAACGGGTCTGTCTGTCT